ACAAGGAAAGGGCCGAGATCTGGTTGATCGGGGTGTGGCCCCGAACTTGCCTGATTTGTGCTCATTTCATTTGTACCACCGCCTCTCCGTGTCTCCCGTGTTTTGCGCAGAGTATTGACGCGCTGGCAGACGCGTTAGACGAGTTCACCGGAGGAGTCGTGCTGGTGTCCCACGATTCACGCCTCATCTCGCGCGTGTGTGACGACGAGGAAAGGGCAGAGATCTGGGTGGTGGACAACGGCACGACTAAGAAGTTTCCGGGAAGCTTTGAGGATTACAAGCAGCAGCTGATCAAGGAGATTATTGCAGAGGTGGAGGACTAGGGTGCGCACAACACGGATAGCGAGGATGAGCAGGGTTTAAGGGAAGGAAGAACAAGCACAGTTGAGTTATAATTAAGTTAGTTCAGGAGATCAGAAAGGCCAGGACTGTTGGGAATGGGGCGGTGATACTCCCACCAAAACATCTTATTCCTTCATCCAAGTGGGGTGTGGAAGGGGAAGGGGGAGGGAGAGTGGAGGGGGCTGAGGGGATTGGTGAAGGGAATGAATTCTGTAGGGGAGAAGCAGTGTTTGATTGTTGTGTTTAGCAAGCATGTCTATCAGCATAAAGAAATGTAATCAAGAAACACTGTATGAACACATCCTTCCCCCTCTTCGAAGGGTTTGTTTATCAATTACAGCTAACAACGCGTTTGAGTGAGGCATCAAAGTGTATGATACACATAAGCTTTGCCTTATTCCACTAATGTGGGACAGAGGTACATTTGTCACGCTAAACCTTCACCTATCACAACCTGCCCTGCTCCCTACTTTTTCTGTTCGCTTCACAGGGCCATGGCATGGAGTTAACGGAACTGCACGCTTTACGTTCGAGCAAATGTCGAAACCTCATGGCTGACAGAACTTGGGCGCACCATCACATGCCAGGACAAATACCAAGTGTCAGTATCACATGCCCTGCTCATGCGGTAGCAAATGAATGGTGCAAGTGGCACACTGTTAGTAGCACACTGTTAGTCAGAAGCACCAGGAGCTTCTGGAACATCATAAGTCGTGGAGCGTTGTTTGTCGCGGAAAAGGCAGCCCCTTCTGGAACATGCCGCGCAGGTGCTTAGAACATGCAGCGATCCCGCGTGCGACGGCTGCGACGTGTCTGCAATTTCGTGCGCCTGTTGCATGCGAGCGGTTACGAGTGGGCGACCACGTACGACGGCAGCGGACACGAGTCGGATAGTCGCATAACTATGGGGTAGTTCCTCCCCAAACCGGCGTACAGGCCTGCATCAAGGCCTTCCCGAGCCTGCACCGAACCAAGAATCCGATCCACGATGACCCGCCGATCCTCGGCGTCATTCACCGCGCCGGCTTCCGAACTCAGCGGCAACTCCGAGGAGGACAGCGCAACGGAACTCCCATTTTTCGGAATTCCGTTCTCCAAGCCTGTCCTTTCAGCACCGTTGCCGCGCGTGTTCCGCTGGTCACGCTCGTTCACCGCTTCGCACTCGTTCCCCTCGCATTCGTAAAACTCCAATTCAAGCGCCTCGTCGAAGAAGTCGTCGCCGATGCGATGCTGCCATTCCAGCAGCAGGCGCGGCGTGCACGGCGAACTGCCGTCGGAGCTGCTATAGGCCTCCATGATTTTATCCGAATCCGATCGCGGATACGGCGCGATCTGGTCCGATTCCGATCGAGGGAACGCGCGGGATGATAGAGGGTACGACTCGACGGAAAAATGTCCCGATTCGGGGATGTTCGCGACGCGACCGTCCACTGACTTTGAACGCCGGATGGCGTGTGAGACTTTCTCGCGAAGCTTCCGAGCTCGCTTGAAGCTGGGAAGATGCGCCGCCTTCGAACCGCTGACGCCCATTTTGAGATGCTTCGAGAAGTTGCTGGATGTCTTGACGATGCGAGACGTACACGATATTTTCAGAAAATAAGAAAGCGTCAAACAAAATGGAAGGAATGGGCGAAGCTCGTGCTCAGGCAAGCTGACTTGGAGGGGAGTCTTCTGCTGATGTTGCCGTACAGGCTATGGCCGCGTACAAAAAATCAACGAGAGAACTTGCTCCTGAGTGGAAAAGGAATTGTGATTGAACGAGCTAGCTCTCATTTGAACAAATGCTGGACAGGAGGCTGCACTTAGCGGATTATAGGTCTGGTCTGGTCATCAAACTGAAGAGCGCCTAAAATGCCGCAGAGTGAGGTGCGGAAATTGGACAATCATCTCTCGAGTTGACCTTTTTTGCTGCGCGACGCGATCACACCCACTGTTTCATCGTGATCACGACACTATGTCCTCGTCGTGAGAGGCGCTCCACCGTTCGAAGTGGTGCCAGCTCAGCCGGCGGCGACAATCGCTGCCACTCGTTCACCACTGAGTATCCCGTTCCCGGACCGCATATCGAGGTCAGCGAACAATGGTTGGAGGAATTGAAATGTACAGTACACGTACACTGAAGCTCATAGGCGAGGAGAAACTGCAGATTTGATGTGGAACTGAACAAGGGCCAGCTGTGAGACATTGAATCTGGGAAGGGTGTTGTGTGGTGTGGTCGGGTGGTCGTCAGGTCACCAAAGTGGGGCCGAACCGCTAAGTTGAAGGGCAAGAAATTTCGCGCGGGAACATTTTTGCCTCGTCGTCACACAATCACATCCCCTGCATAAATTTATTGGCTACCATGAGGCGACATTGGCGGCACAGTTAGCCCGGGTATTACGGGTGTGACATGGATGCGCGAAGCTCTGTGATTCGAGTTCGAAGACAAATGCACTTTTGACAGTCTGAACGCTGGGCTGGGTTCACGGTGATTACGGAAGAACTCGACAAAGTAACAAGCAGTGGGATGTGCTGTACAGTGGCAACTCCAGCGGCACCTCACCCCACGAACAGTACAGTACCCCCTTTGCCATGCTTCTGAAGTGATCGCGGTCGCGGCACGAAATGCAGTTCTTCCTTCGTCCGCAAACTTCATGTTTCACCACGGTTAAATACGGCTGGTAGGGCGTGTTGGGATCTATTTTGCAATGCACTTACAGCAATGAGGTTCCTTCGATGGTAAATTGTTATGGAATACATCACTCTTAGCTCCATCAAACCTCTTCGTGTTGCAAAAATAGGAAAAATAGATGGTCATGCATTCATTACCAATACTTCTTTCATAGGTAAGTTTTCATTCTTCTGTGACTCAATTCCCTCGTCCATGATTATATCCCCTTATTTAAAATGCTCTATGTGCTCACATTGCGTTAAGGGTTTGTCATTTCAGTTGGTTTTTTCTATATTAACTATTTATATGTGCGAACACATATGTATGGTGATTGCTAGCTTGTACGTACAATGGTGCTGCATTTGAAGCATCCTGACAGCATAATTGTACAGCATTTTCTTGCGTCGGGCGGGCGTGAAAAAAAAAAAATAAACCTTCCGCAAGCGAATCGCTTCACAGTTTTTTCAAGGTTTGCGAACTTTGCCCGTCGCACCGCACAACATTCGACGAAGCAAAACGTATGCCAAACTGTTGGTGCGGAGGTAAGATGACGGAACGAACCTCGAGCCGAGGCGTCAACGTCCATTTATGCACATCTTGGATAGAAACCATGGGTAGTTTACTTGTGTCCAAGGCACACTAGAATCGTCGATAATACTGGGCGTCAGGTTACCCGAAAATACGGCGTGTTGGAACTGAAATCATCCAGCATTTAGATTCTCCACCGAGAAAACAGGCCCGACAAAACAGAGGTGTTTAGTGACGATACCCATCGAGTGACACAATAGCCATACCTCCATTCGAGGCGAACCTACAATCAAGGTCAGGTTCGGCACATGACCCAAACCTGTCTTTTACTCGGACCCGCAGTCTGTCAGAACCTGACTTCCTGATCCCGGCGCGGCCCAGACTACATTCTTGTTACCGTTGCTCAGGCATGGCTCTACTGGGCTTCATCTGGATTCGGGTTCAGAATTGCTTGCTGATGGTCGAATTTGCTAACTTCGACTCGGACAGACCTACCTGCTCTTTATTCCTTTTCTGTGTTGTTTCTTCACTCTTACCAGCCTTTGAATGGGAAGCAGAAGCACTTTCAGGATACGCTGATAGAATTTCGGAGTCGGACCGTAGCGCTGCCTGGGGTTGTGGTGAGGCTAACTCATCATAGTGCACGACCTAAACGCTTCGATAGTCACTGGTCCGACATTTATTTATTAGCTGCTGTTATGACGTCGTCTTTGGCGTTTATGCCGCTTCTGCTTCTCATTTCGCTGAGCCTTCTTTCTGCCGCGAGAGCAGCGCCAGCAGCGGCTAAGCCATGGGGTAAGAACCGTGCAATTCGTTCAGTTTCCAGACGTCTCAGAGCAGCGAGTTCTCAGGTTCAAAGTCACATCTGGTTGTTCTGTGACGTATCAAAACGATGGCTTCGCACAGCAAAAGCCACTTCTATTCGACGGCTATCACCAGTGACATGTTGGCGAGCATTTCACAGTCACTGATCTTCAAGCAGCCAATTATGGTTTATCTCAGTCGTCAAACCTCCTCATAAAATCTCTTGGCAACTTTAGCTTTCTTAACTCAGCTACAGCTTCAGGATCTTGGTAACGTCGTACCATTTCTGCTGCATTTCCACGTGTCTCTCATCACTCTCTCTGGCGGATGTCGAACGTCAATCTTGTTGCTGCCCTTCGATAGACTTCAGGCAACGTTGAACCGTCGATATCGATGACAAACAGCATCCATGGGCTTCCACCGTAACCTTATCCATTCTGCTGCCAGGCTTTCACATCTCCATGTGAAAAAGATCGCTCTTTCCCCTCTCGCCGTCCGATTGACTCTGGCAAGCTGGCATACACTCCACGCCTCTCTGTTGCCCGGGCGTCAACTTACTACTTCCACTGCTATATGCGTGGTTACCAGACGACGGGCTTACAAGTAACACGTCTAGCATGCATGCTTCGTCTATCTCACCCTGCATGCAGGTGGGATACGCATTGACAGCGGCGGCATGAGGAACGTTACGGATAACTTCACCCGGCAGAGGTCGCGCGACACTCGCAGTGGGATGACTGGCACGTCAAATCGATTCTGACACTGTTGCATGCCCCTTCTACCTCACTCTGCATGCAGGTGGCATCCGCATCGACAGCGGCGGCATGAAGAACTTCACGGATAACTTCACCCGGCAGTGGTCGCGCGATACCGGCTTCACGAGCGGCATGGCCGGCACGCTGAACCTCACGGGCGAGCCGAACGAGTTCAACATGCCCATGTACCAGAAGACCACGCGCTACTACCTGTTCGCGCTCGAGAACTGCTACGAGATGCCGGTTCCCGCCGGGCACTACCTCATTCGGATGTTCTTCAACCCGGGGCCCCCCAATGAACGCGGAGATCCGGTGAGTGCTGGCAGACTCGTATGTGCTTTTTCTGTTCTCTCTCGTCCCTTGGGAACGCCTGCGAAATGGTTGCGAAACGTCTGCGGACGACCTTCGAAACTCTCACTGACCCGGGCCCACCTCGACGGTGTGCATCTGGTGAATGATGTCGGTCGCGCAAAGAGTTTTTAAGTCCTTTCGACCCTTCCCCCTCACCATTGACCCTCTTTCCCTTCACCCTCCATCCCCTCCTCCCCGTTTTTCCGTCCAATCTCCCCCATCCCCTCCGCCAACCCCTTCCGCTTTCCCTCTCCGCCTCCCCCTCTCTCCTCCAGACCCGCGAGTTCGCCGTGTCCACGCTCTCCACACAGATCGCCATGATCACGCCGCGAACGCCTGGCGAATTTCGCGAAATGATGGTAACCTACCCCGGCCCGAACGCGGAGCTGGACGTCTGCTTCGTCGCCAACCCGTCCGCCCTGTCGGCGTTCGTCAACGCCCTCGAGATCCTACCGGTAAGACAAGGGAGAGGGTCCTTTTTGGGATGCTGCCGGTAAGGCAAGGGAGAGGCCGAATGGTATTATTCACGGCCGTTGGAGACAAGCGAACTCACCTTTGTCAGCGTTCGTCAACGCCCTCGAGATCCTGCCGGTAAGACAAGGGAGAGGCTCGAAAAATTGTTTTATTCCACGTCATTACCTGCTCCATCCACGCTGTTAGAGAGAAACAAACTTGCCATTCTTTTCCCTCGCCCTCCACCTTCCTTCCCCCTTTCTTCCTCCCCTCCTTAGATCGACCCAGCCGCGTACGTGACGGACCCTAACCACATTCTCTTGAACTACGCGCACGTGATTCCGAGTCTCACATGTTGTCGACCCTCTTCCTCCCTTCTTCCGCCCCCTGTCCCCCCCTCCTTTCCCCCAGATCGACCCAGAGGCGTATGTGACGGACCCCAACTACATTCTCTTCAACTACGTGCGGCTGCGGACGGGGAAGGGCATGAGCTTCGGGGACGGAGTGAGCCTGCCGGATAAGGACAAGGGCCACCGCCAGTGGTTCAACATGTCGACGGCCAAGCTGCTCAACGAGCCGGTGACCGTCAGGTTGGTGCGGCATGGGTCTTATGGGTGCTGAATGGGTCCCGTCTGGTTGGCGTGACTAACCTCACTGTACAGTACGGTTGGGTGACATGCTCCAGTGGTTCAACATGTCGACCGCCAAGCTTCTCAACGAGCCTGTGACCGTCAGGTTGGTGCTTTGAAGTACCGACAAGTGTGTGAGTGTGCGAGTGTAAGAGAACATCAGAGTATGCTAAGGTGGATTTTCTAAGGTACAGTGCGGTTCGGTGGCATATGACAGTGGTTCAACATGTCCACGGCCAAGCTGCCCAACGAGCCTGTGACCGTCAGGTTGGTGCTGAATGGTGTCCGTCTGGTTGTCGTGACTATCCTCACGGTGTAGTACGGTTGTGGACGTCAGGATGGTGCTTGACTGGACTTAATGTTCCAGGGTGGTGCTAAATTGGTCTTCTGAATTACTATTCTCTCGGTACAGTACGATTAAGTGGTTTGTGGTTGAACATGCCCACCGCCAGATGCGAGCCTGCCTGCGCCTCCCTTTTGCCTCCCCTCTTCGCTTTTCCCCGTCGCCTACCCCTTTCGCTGCTTCCTCTCAGCAGCGAGCCTGCCGATCTGCCTATTTCTGTGTCGTGTAATCAGTCGGTTCAACCGACTGTGCCTGACATCTCTCTCCCATCCTCCCAACCCATCCTCCCCGCTCTCCCTTCCAACCCCCCCCACCCTCCCCCCCAACCCCCCTTCTCTCCTCCTCCCCACTCCTCCAGCTGCGAGCCTACCTGCACCTACCTCTCGGTGCCGCCAGCCACAGCCTTCAAGGGTGCTGACGTGGAGCCGCACTACTTCCCCAGCATCCTGTACTCGTCAGCCATCACCAATGCGGCTGGAGGCAAGATCACATTCAAGGTCACCATTCCCGACAAGGGCTCCCGGGTGCTCGTCGTGCTGCACTTTGCCGAGATTGATCCAAGTGAGTTGAGCGTCTGCTTTTCTTTATCTCGCCACACATCCTGAGCCCTTTACCTGAAACAGGGTAAATCACGTTTAGGGTTCCCGGGTGCTCATCGTGCTGCACTTTGCTGAAATCAATACAGGTGAGTTTTGCTCTTTGCTCATTGTCTCTCATTACCGCACCATATATCCCGAGCCCTCCAGCGCTGACGGTACACGTGTCTTCCCTATTTCTGCAACGGAAAGCCCACCTTACACGGTGACAGCATTGATCTGATCAAGTGTAAGGTGGGCTTTCCGTTGCAATCAAGTGGTTCAAGCCTACCCTCCCTGATGAGTATTTTCCCTTTCTCCCTCCCTGCTCCCTCCCCGCCTACCCTCCCCCCAGCCGTCACTGCTGCTGGCTCGTGTCTTCTCTATCTTTGTCAACAGGAAGCCCACCCCGGGCGGCGACAGCATTGATCTGATCACACGGTTCAAGCTTGACTGTCCCTCTCTCCTCTCCCGGCTCTTTCCCTGCTCCTCCCCGCCTACCCCCTCCTTCCAGCCGTCACTGCTGCTGGCGCGCGTGTCTTCTCTATCTTTGTCAATGGGAAGCCCACCCCGGGCGGCGATAGCATTGATCTGATCACACGGTTCAAGCTTGACTGTCCCTCTCTCCTCTCCCGGCTCTTTCCCTACTCCCCGCCTGCCCCCTCCCTCCAGCCGTCACTGCTGCAGGTGCTCGTGTCTTCTCTATCTTTGTCAATGGGAAGCCCACCCCGGGCGGCGACAGCATTGATCTGATCACACGGTTCAAGCTTGACTGTCCCTCTCTCCTCTCCCGGCTCTTTCCCTACTCCCCGCCTACCCCCTCCCTCCAGCCGTCACTGCTGCAGGTGCTCGTGTCTTCTCTATCTTTGTCAATGGGAAACCCACCCCAAATGGAGACAACGTTGACCTGATCAAGTGGGGCAAGGCTTCCAAGGTGGCGCTCTTCAAGACCGTTGATTGGCAGCTGGGGCCGGACGAATCGACGGTGGAGATTGTGCTGGCGGGTGCTGAGGGCGCATCCAAGGGCCCCACAGTTGCGGGGTTGGAGGTGTTCCGGCTGGTGTCCAGAGGGCCTCGCACCAACGCGGATGAGTGTGAGTTTGTTTCCGAGTTTTGAGCTAAGAAGGGAAGGGAGTTCCCTCTCCTAATGAGTGTGAGTTCTAGAGGTCGGAGCTTCGAAGGAGTGGGAGTGTGGGCGTTTCACGAGTAGTTGCAGAGGTCTGAGTTGCGAATGGAGTGGTAGTTAGGTGCAATTGCGGTGTGCGTGCAAGGCATACTACAGTAAATAATTTGTCTCAAACCCCCTCTTCTCCACCATCCAGTTCCTCCCGCCTCCTACCTCCCCATCAGCCAGTCAAGCTGATGAGGAAGATCCGCGATGCTCTGGTGGTGCCGGAGATGAGCAAATGGCAGGGCGACCCCTGTGCGCCCATTGCTGCTGTCGCTTCCCCACATCTCACCCACTCCAACCCACTCTCACCTCTTCTAACCCCCCCAAAACGTCCTCCCCACTCCCTACACCCCCCCCCTTCAACGCCAGTCAAGCTGATGAGGAAGATCCGCGAAGCTCTGGTGGTGCCGGAGATGAGCAACTGGCAGGGCGACCCCTGTGCGCCCATCGCCTGGCCGGGCGTGGGGTGCCGGCTCACAGAGAAGAACGACTTCAGCATCACGGGCATGTGAGTGTGCTGAGGAATGCATGTACGAGTATGCATGTGGGTGCGGGTGTGGGTGTGGGTGTGGGTGTGGGTGTGGGTGTGGGTGTGGGTGTGAGTATGCATGTGGGTTGAGGGTGAGGGTGTGAGCCAGGGTGTATGTGTGGGTGTGGGTGAGATTGTGGATATGAGCGTGACTGTGTGTGTGGGTGAGGGTTGGATCATGGGTTCATGCGGGTCACAGAAGAACGGCTTGAGCAGCACGGGCATGTGATTGTGGCGCAGCTTTTACAAGTAATTGTGGGTAGAGGTGCTTTCTTGGGATGAGGGTGTAGTGTACATGTGTCCCTGACAGAGGTTACGAGTAACATTTGCACCTCGAAGTTACCAGTACTCCATAAAGATCACAGGCTTGTGACATGTTCACACCCCATGAACAGCATCCCATCTTGATGCCATCTACCGCCCCTCAATTCTGTTTCTCTTTCTCTGACTGCAACCCTTGAAATCGCTCCCTCCCATCCCATCCCAACCTCCTCAGTACGCTGTCAGCAGCAGAACTCTCGGGTTCGCTGCTCCCTGACATTCACCTGCTCAAGAACCTGCAGTACCTGTGAGTAATGGCTTGGGTCGCTGTGAGGCCTTTGGATAATGCGTTCCTTTTTGTTGCTCTGTATATTTCTCAAGTACCTGGAGTACCTCGCAATCTTTGTTATACTGTATTGTTTTGCTTCTAGCCAAAATTTCCGTGGCCGTTTTCCGCATGTCATGTTAATGTGCATGTGTGCAGGAACCTGAGCAACAATCACATCTCGGGAGGCATTCCGCAGACACTCATCAACCTAGAGCAGCTCACCATGCTGTAAGTGCGGAGGCAGCTGATGCTGATGCCTAGTGTACATCTGATTTACAAGTAGGAAACACTATGCATTCCGCGGACACTCATCAACCTGGAGCAGCCAATGTTCTCTAGCTCTCCAACCCCTCCCCTCTCCCCTCCCGTTTCTTAGCACATGCTCACCAGAACCCCCCGTCGTCTGACCTTCTCCCTATTGTTCTTCTCCTGGCCCTTTCCTCCGTATGTCCTGATCTCCCCGCATCCTCACCACCATACCCCAGGGACCTGTCAGCCAACGATCTCAAGGGCTCCATCCCTCGGGGCTTCAGCAGCATGCCTGCTCTCAAGATTCTGTGAGTGCCTTGGACAGCTCCTGCGTTCGCGTGTGCCTCGTTGGGGATGCAATTGTCTGTACAACAAGCCAGTTGTTGGGGATCCACGTGTCACCATGGGTTACGATTATTGCTACAAATACCGGGCTGTCAGGAGTTTACCTTGCCCTCAACGCGTACTCTTTCTTCCCAATACCCCTTCATCCCTCACCTCCTTGCCACCTGCTCCTCTCTTCCCTTTCCCCGTCTCTCCTTCTCACTCCGTGCCACTGTTCTTCTTCCCCGGCCCTGTTCTCTACTGTCCTCTGCCACTGTTCTCTCCTGTCCTCTGCCAGTGACCTGCACGACAATGAGCTCACAGGAGGTGTGCCTGCCGATCTCTTCCCGCCTCCCCCCGGCGTCATGATTGAGTGAGCCCCCTTGTTGCCCTATTGCCTCGTTTGCCTCTTTCCTTCCTTTCTGCTGTTCATTAGTGCTGTGATGCTTTGTAGAATAAGCATTGGCTGTATTGATGCTATCCATTTTGCGAATCACTGGCCACACCTATGACAAAACATAACTTTCCAAACCCCCGCACTTCACTCCCCCACTCCCCCTGCCAACTTTCCTCTTCCCAATTTCTCTAACACCCCGGATGTGTGTGGCACCACCACGCGGCCAGCCTGTGAGGCACTGGGCAGGACGAGAGTGACCAACATCACAACCTTTCCTCCTCATTTCCCCCTTTCTCCCCAGTTCTCCAACAACCCGGATTTGTGCGGCATGACCGTCCGGCCAGCCTGCGAGGCACTGGGCTTGTCGTGAGTGAGCAACATCACAACCTTACCAATCCCCTTTCCCCTCCTGGACTCCCATCACTACCTACCTCTCCCTCTCCCAGTTTCTCCAACAACCCGGATGTGTGTGGCACGACGACCCGTCCAGCCTGTGAGGCGCTGGGCGGGCCGGGAGTGAGCGACATCACGATAGTGCAGCCGACGTCTTCATCAGTCTCATCCACCCAGATCGTGTGGATCATCACCGCGTGCATTCTCGGTGTGCTGCTGATCATTGCTGTCGTGGTTGCCATTCGTCTCATCTTCTTCCAACCGCACCTACCACTGGAAGATGACGACAATGGTGAGCCGCATCCCCCTCCTCCCTTCCCCACCCCTCCCTCCCACCCTCTCCCACCCCCCCCCCTCCCCCCTTTCCCCCCCTCTCCCCTCACTTCCCTGCTCCACCCAACCCTCCCCATTCCCCCTCCCTCCTCCCCTCAACCCCGTTCCCTCAACCCAACCCAAACTGCCGCACTACTATCACCAAAAGCCTGGGGACTTTGCACTGGCTGAAAAGTACTCATTGCTGCCGATGTAGTTGCCTTTTGCCTCATCTTCTTTCAACTCCTTGTAGCTTTTCTCGACGGTGGGCGCTCACGTTGCCTTGCTTGTGCTGTAGTATAACACGTTAAACTGATGTCATAACATCTCCACCCCTTTTGCAGGAAATGGTGGGTTCTATAGCAATGCCCACCGAGGTCACTTCTTGGAAGATGATGAGCCACCATATGTCGCCACTTTGGACGAGGAAGCACGCTAGTTACACCAATGAATGGCCCCTGGTTTAAGTAAGGGCATGTGCAGTGCTGTCTACCGATGGCGCTGCAATATGGCGTTCACGTATACGGAGCAATGCATCAAGTGCTTGTTTTCCACTTTATCTCTTGAATCACCATTTTACATCGCAATCCAGTAGCATTCATATGGGGTTGCAATACAGTTAGGGCATGTTACCGTAGGTATATACTTCTGCTTCTTGTTTGATAGATTTTTAGTATTGTATCTTGGTTTTCTTGCGCTGAACATTTGCCCAACCACTTCAATACAGTAACGTGTAAAAAATCACTCAACGCCGTCAAGCGAAGCAGTGAAAACGTGGATTTGAAATGACTTTCGGAGCCACGGACGTTGGCCGTCGAGTTTTCCTGCAAGCCCACAGTTTCTCACCTTTTGATGGTGGTTTGAATGAACCTAGCTGTCAAGTCGAACAGATCAGATGGTCAACGACTTGGCGGTGTGGTCTGGAGGAAAGTGGAGACGTGGCCGAACCACTGGGACCAGGGATTATTGTTGGAAGGACGGCTACAATCGGCTGCACCCTGCCCGATGAACAATCTTGGTGCACAATAACGGTCGATGAGAGAACAATCGAAATCGACGGTGAAGAAGAGTTTCTAAGTTGTTGGTTCATCCTACCCAACGGACTTCCCCTTGTACAGAAAAGGATTCTGATTGGCTGCATACAAGAAATGTACGGTAAAGTACATTTTGAGAGGAGGTTACAACGGTAATGAGCTCTACTCCGAGCTCGCTGGCCTAGTCGGACCAAGGGTTGCTTTGATTCGAAGGGTACGTCAGGAAGGTGGTTTCTTCTCCCCTCTCCATGATCCCCCCATGCGATCCCATCCCATCCATCCATCCCAACTTTCTTCTCGGAACTCGCAGCCTCCGGAACCCCCACCACTATCAATCATACAAATACATAAAATCGAGTACCACGAGGAGGTCGATTTTGTCCGTGGTCAGAAGAAGTAAAGTTACACTGCAAGAGACAAGCCGCTAGATTCGAAGCAGGATTTGTTACCCGTCCTGCAAATTTAGTAAGGCATTCTTCCAGTAATCGTCCGAGAGTGATCATTTGGATAGGCAAAGGGACTGAACAAACCGTTGACATAATAGCCTCTATTTATTACCGTTTGTTTATTCACCGTTTATTTCAATAAACTTCTGCGTCAGCCTGCCAGAATGTACTCAGATTCCTTCCACCGCTCACCCTCAAGCACCTCGTCCGAAGATCTCACGTCTGAAGCGAGCTATGCGACTTCCTCCAGTCGCAGCTCCGTGAAAGTGCCTAAGCTGAGGTCCGGAAAGGTCAGTTTCACTGATTCCTCTTTTTGTTGTTGTTTCTGTTTAACGTCTCTTTATTAACCCTCCAATCCGGAGTCGACTGTAAGGTAGCTACTGCACGACCTCCTCCAGTCGCAGCTCCGCGAGGGTGCCTACGCGATAGGACGGGGTGGTTAGTCCCTTGACTTCGCCCTGTGTGTGTGTGTGTGTGTGTGTGTGTGTGTGTGTGTGTGTGTGTGTGTGTGTGTGTGTGTGTGTGTGTGTGTGTGTGTGTGTGTGTGTGTGTGTGTGTGTGTGTGTTTTTTTTTTTTTTTTTTTTTTTTTTTTTTTTTTTTTTTTGTCTCCTCAACACTCCTCCCCGCAATTTTTAATATCGGTTGAAAGAGAGCGACGTGGCTTATTCCAGTCGTAGCTCCCTGAAACCACACAAAGCTACGCTGTTATATCCTGCATGCATTCTATGTTTTCTGTCGCCGCCTATCGTTTTCTATTTTGAATTTTAAAACCTGTATCACTTTCTGTTCCCATCGTCCCTTCCCTCCTTTTAGGCTCCAAGAGTCTTTTAAAACCATACATACCTTGCCAACAAACCACTTATTGCCCTTCATTTCCTCATCCGCGTGCCTTTTTTTTTTTTTGACTGCCTTAAATATTGTCTTCAGGGTCCTCATCCTTCGGCGGCGCTTCCCATGTTTGGAACATGGAATTTTCAAGCTTCAAAGAACCCGGAAGAGGCGGCGGCAGCGGCGGCGGCGGCGTCCGCAGCCGCGCGCTTGCGCTGCGCGCCGAGCGTGCAGACCCATGATCCCGAGATCGACGGGGGCGTGGGAAGCGGCGGCGCGGGCTTCACAACGATGTTTGCGAATAAGGGGAGGGAGAGACGAGCCATGCGGATTGTGGATGGGAGGATCATGGAGGTACCCAGCGGGGGTCAGCAGGTATGGAGAGGGGGGGTTGGGGATGGAGAGGCGGGATGGGGATGGCGAGGGCTTCACAGCGATGTTTGCGAATAAGGGGAGGGAGAGGTGAGCTATGCGAATCGTAGATGGGAGGATCATGGAGGTTCCCAGCGGGGGTCAGCAGGTATGGAGTTGAAAAAGGGACCAGGATGGGGAGGAGGTATTGGGGGATGCGGGGAATCCTAGGGAGCACAGAGAAAGATCGTAAACACGGTGGGGAGGGGGGGAGGGGGGGGAGGGGGGGGGTGGGGGAAGCGGAGGGGGGGGAGGGGTCATCAATTTGGCGCCTGAGCGGCTGAGCCCAGCCACAACATTCAGGCACCCATATTCGTCTTGATCCCCACTCCCTCCTGTCCCTCACACCTACCTGGGCACCCCTTTCTCGCCCCCCCTACTCCCCCCGCTCCCCCATGTTATCTTTCCATTCTCGCCTCCCGATTTTTCTTCCATGTGTTTTGCCTGCTCCTCCCCTCTGCTCTCATCAGCTCTAAACTCCTCTAATCTTTTGATGCGCCGTTCCTGTTTCTCCTCTCTCCCGACCTGCACTACAGGCAAGCGTCACCATCTCCTCCTCCGGATCCTCTGAGTCTCGATCACCCAACCGTCTCCCTCACATACCACCCGATCATCCTCTCTACCACCTCTACAACTCCCCGCTCTCCGGCTCCCCGGACCACCTTCGCGAGCCTAACTCCCAGCCTCGGCAGTCGTACCTGCCAGGTCTGGCGCTTGAGCCAATCGCGTCCGACTCCACTATGCAGTCTGGCGGTTCCTCCCCCTCCCACTCCTCGTTTTCCCAGGATGGTGAAGACATCTCATGGGTACCAGCAGCCACTGTAGCAGGTTCGGCAGCAGTGGCAGTACAAGCAGCACCACCAGCACCGCCAGCAGCAGCAGCAGCAGCAGCAGCAGCAGCAGCAGCAGCAGCAGCAGCAGCAGCAGCACCAGTACCAGCAGCAACAGCAGCAGTACCGTCTTCAAACATCCCCTCTGTAGCAACCTCTGTGGCGCCTCAACAGCCGTCAGCCTCCCCACCGTCTCTCGCTGAGTTGCAGTCGCTCAGGCTCAGGCTGGCTGCGGGGGAGAATCTTTCCCCTCTGGAAATGCAGCGACTCACTGAGGGGGTTCTTGCTCTCATGTCTACTCCTCCTGCTGCTGCATCTGCTGCCCCTGCTGCCGTTCCTGCTGCGTCTGCTGCTGCCGTTCCTGCCCCTGCTCCTGCAGTTCCCGCAGCTGCTGCTTTTTTTCCCGAGCGAAAACCAGCTTTGGCAAACGAGCCTGCGGGCCATGCCCGAGCCAGTCCCCCAGCCTATCACTTAGGCTCGGGTAGTGCGTCTGATTCTTCCCCTGAGTCTTCCCCTCCCCGTCGGCCCCTTCGCTACTACTCCCCAGTTCACCATTCCCCACACCGCCATGACTCTGCTGCTAACCCTTCCTTGATTTTCGAGGCTCCAGTTTGGGCTCGCGACGCCCCATCGTCCGAAGCTGCGGTCAGGTCCGGTGAAGGTTCGGATGGCCTTGGGGTCACTGTGGCTGCACCTGGTAATACTGTACCAGCACATGGCAATGTAGCAGCATCGGTTCCCGAACCTGGTTCCCAGCCTCGCGCCGCTGCTCAACCGTACCAAGCGGCCTCGGCAGCCCCCATTCCACATTATCCCATCCCGAACCTCCAAGATAAGCACACTCCGGTTGGCAGCCCCATTGACAAACACATGGCCGCTCTCTCCTCTTCTTCCACCTCCTCCCCTTCTTTCTCCTCTCCTGCTCCCCCTCCTCCGCCTCCGCCCTACGCTCTCCCGCCTTCCTCCTACAACCACCCCTCCCATGGCCATTCTGGCAACGGCCCTTCACCCATGGCGCTGTTGCCTTTGGAACCAGAAGAGGACGATGGGGGTTTCACCTGGGAGGGTTGGTCAGTAACAGGTGGGCCAATCAGGGAGCAGAATGGCGCTGCCTGTCCTGCGGCTGCTGCTGCTGGTGTTGCCAGTGCTGCTGGTGTTGCTGGTGTTGCCAGTGCTGCCAGTGGTGCTGGTGCTGGTGGGGATTTGAGTGCTGCGGACTGGGGTTATGGCGATTCGGGGCGTGCACTCGATGTTACCTTTGGCCTTGACGGCACTGGCAGCACTGCTTGCACTGCCATCAGCAGTGTCCCTTCCGCTGCTGCTCCTCAATCTACCTTTGCTATATCTGGTAATGACACCTCTGGTATTGCTGCTGCTGCTTCTGCTGCTGCTCCTGCTGGTGCTGGTGGTGCCACTACCGCTGCTGCTGCCGCTGCTGTTGGTTCTGTTCCTGTTGCTGCTGTACCCAGTACAGGCTCACCCGCTATCAGATCAGCGCCTAGGATTCCCTACCAACTGCCTTACAGCGACTGGGACCAAGACACACAGCACTCCAAGGTGCGGTTTCAAGGGGAAATTGCCCACGCTGCTGAAGCTGCGGGATACACTAAGATGTTCCAGGACAGACAGGCGAGAAAGAAGATGCAGGGAGGGGCAGGGTTCGGGAACCTTGGAATGCCTGTGAGAGATCAACTTGGGAATACTGGTGCGGAGCGAACTGAGTGGAATGCAGGTGTTGCTGCTGCTCTGGCCGGGGTTAGTCCTCCTCCTCCTCCTCCGGCTCCTCGTGCTGGTGGTTATGCTGCTGCTGGTTCAGGCGCTGGTGTTGGTGTTGGTGCTGGTGCGGGTGCTGCTGCTGCTGCTCTTCCTCCTCCACCGTATCTTGCCCATCCTTTTGCTGCCCCTGCTGCAGGAGGGCCAGGGGGGCCACTCGTGAATTATTCTGCGAATCCTGGCATGTACATTCCGCAGCCCCACACTGTGTTGGGATTGAATGGCCCTCCGCACGGCGCTCATGCAGCTGATGCTCACGGGACAGAACATGGAAGAGTTGGAATGCGACAAAAGGTGGGTTGTGATGGCATCTTGTGCGTTGGGTTTTGTTTCTGCGAGCTGATCTTCGAGTTGTGGGAAGGATTCATGCTGACATACCTTCTTTGGCTGCTATTTGTGTGCAGATTGGAGGTTTCTTTGGGTTTGGAAAGAAATAGAATGTGTACTATGGTATTTATGCTGCAGTTTGCTGTTTGTCAAGATGGCATTGTTTCAATATGAAATGGCTATTCTAGCACTAATGCAAGTTGATTTAAGTTTATCACAGAGAAGTGTAGTTATCACTGGCTTTTGTCGAGCTCTGACACCGTGTTTAGCGGCTGGCAGTCACGTTCTGTCCATCCCATGAGCTTCCGCCGATTGGCGGCCTGCTCTCCTCGTACTGACACGGAATCGGCCGCGCTGCGACGACTTGGTCAAGCTTCTTGTCTGGTTCAGCCAACAGGTTCGGTAGCAGGTCTGGGTTGACGTATAGCCGTGGGATGACTTTTACCCTCGATGTAATCATCTTTTAGGTTTTCACATGGCTCACCAAACCATTTCGATTTTCTGGAACGAACCAAACGGGCCGCGAGGATGAAGGTCACATTTCGCTTCTGTCACTGGCACCATCGCTTGAAGCACACTGGTCTGAAGCCCCTCTCTGGCCCCGTTACGCAGCCGCGAACTCCTTGATTTGCGGCTCCGCGCTCGGCATCTCCGTGCTCCTTCCGCATTCCGCGCGGAGCTATCTGCTCACTTCCGCCGGCTCCGCTCCGCTGACTGGTGTCAGCGTCACCCGTCGGCCAGTCACTCATTCCCCCTCCCCCCTAATCACCCTGGTTCCGCTATCTTCACACTGAGACTTCCGCCAGCCCTCCCCACGCGTGGCCAACCCACGCGCCCCGCCAGAACAGACCCTGGGGAATAGATTCCCTTGAACTTGTCTTCTTGGGAAGGAACTCTACAAGCAGATCGATCTGTGAAGAAACTGAAGCATCTAGGGGACTGACTGAGGAGTCTGTCAGCTTTTTCTGGATTGTTAGAGCTTTGTGTCATTCGGTCCCTGGAGTTAACCTATTTTCCCTTCGTCTCTGGTCCAAATCTAGTTCCGTGCTGAGTTATAAATATTACTTGTATATTATTCAGTGTCCTAAGTTCTGTACACGTCAGACTGCCTGTGTCAGCTCAAAGCTGGATACATTTAGCTGTTGCGACTAACTTCGTTAGTCCTACCGATTAGGTGATTACTGACCTTGACAAGAAATAGCGTGAGGAAAAAAAACAGTCGAGTGGTTGGAAAACCACTGGTCGAGCATGAGGTTCTCCGCGCATCGCGGTTGCTGCACGCTATTCGCAGCTCTCGCGGTTGCCGCATGCCTATTGGCCACCGGCGTTCCGTCAGCCGAAGCGTACGATCCGCTAGATCCAACGGGCAACATCACGATCGTGTGGGATGTAACGAGCTGGGCAGGCGACGGTTACATCGCGTGGGTGAAAATGTACAACTACCAGCACTACCGCAAGATTGATCCACCTGGCTGGGCGCTGACGTGGAATTGGACGCACGGCGAATACATCTGGGACTTGACGGTAAGCAGTGCTGAGAAGTCTCAGATTACATTGCGAGGGTTAATATGCGGTGAGCAGCAGCGGCGACGCGCTCAGCAGCAGCAGCAGCAGCGACCCGTTCGCTTGAGGCGATTTTTGCGAGGCCTTTAAGACTCAATTATGTAATGGGTTCGACGACGAGCAGCAGCAACAGCGCGCGGTCGGTATTAACGTGGTTCAAGTGGTTTCTGCTCGCGTGGTCGGTTATTCCTGTGCTGGAGTGATGGCTTGAAGTGTGGATGGCCAGACGGTTGTAGGGGTAACTGCTACGCGTTATATTCCTTTTCGTACTGTCTTGCCCTCTCCTATCCCCGCTCTCCCGTCTCTTTCCCATCTTCCTCCTCCGTCCTCTCCATTGGCTTATTCCTCCTTTGCCTCTCTCCCTCTCCTTCTTGGCTCACTGTTCTTCCTCACCTCCCATGCTCACTCGTCACACTGAGGAATTTCTTGTAACTCACTCCTCCCTTTCACCTTCTCCGCTCGTGCGCTGCAGGGAGCCGTGGCGACGAAGCAAGGCGATTGTTCTAAGCTGCAATTCCCCGGGGGCAAGATCCCGCACAGGTGCGTCACTGATTTATTGTCAAAGGAATGTTAATTGTAATCATTGTTTTCTAGTCGCCTCGTTGCTGGAGGACCTGATGCGGGCTTAGAAGCGGTGATGGGTTTGATGCCGGCGGACCCCCCTACCTCTTCCTTCTCTCCGCTTATCCGCTCCCCCCACTCCCCCCTAAACTCCCCCCCCACACCAACCCCTCCGCCACCCCATCCCCCGCCCTGCATGCGGTTCCTGGTGGTGATGGACCTCATGCCCGCGGACCCTCTCAATCCCTTCCCCGTCCCCTGTTATCCGCTCCCCCGCCCCCCCGCCTCCCCCCACGCAGCTGCATGCAGTACCCGGTGGTGATGGATTTAATGCCTGCAGACCCCCTCAAGCCGGACGCGCCGGGAGTGCTGAAGAACTGCTGCAAGGCGGGGTACCTCGGAGCCAACAAGACCGACCCCGGGCACTCGCTCGCAGCGTTCATGGTGAGCCGCGGTGCTGGTGGCGCGGTGCTGGTGGCTTCCCCTCCCGCCTTCCCGCACTCATCCCCCACTCCCACCAACCCCGACCCCTCACTACTGCATCAACTCCTACTCCTTCCGAGTCAACTTTACCCTCTATACCGACCTTATCTAACTCACCTCTCTGTCCCCCCTCCTTCTCTCATGCTCCCTTCCCTCCTCCCCCGATCCTCCTCCCCATTTTCCAACCCCTCCCCTCCCCTGCCATTTCTCTCCTAATCTGCATATCAACGTGGTTAATGCCACGAGCACTGTGTGCAACATCGTCCCTCGAAGCAATTTCAGCCTCCACTCCCCTCTTCTCCCCTCCCTTCGTTCCTTGCACTTCTCTTTCCCTCCTTCACTTTCCCTCCCGTCCCGCAGATCAACGTCGGTAATGCCACGAGCACGGTGTGGAACTTCGTGCCTCCGGGCAATTTCAGCCTGGGCGTGGACGGATACAAGTGCACAGACCCATTCCAAGTCAACTCCACCATCTATACCGACCCTACCACTCGCCGGGAAACCCAGGCCCAAGTGACCTACCACATCGTGTGCACCTACAGCTCGATTCAGAAGCGAGACCCACCGAAATGCTGCGTGTCGTTATCCTCGTTTTACAACGACACGATAATACCGTGCGCGAGCTGCGCGTGCGCATGTGGGAACTACTCGGCGAGCTCGATTGTGTGCGTGCCGACGGGCGGCAAGGTGCCGTATCTGATGTCGACGCCGAGTGGGGATGGGCTGGAGTTGAAGACTGATCAAACGGCCATGGAATGCAGTCCGGACGGGTGCCCCATCAGCATTCACTACCACTTCAAGGTGAGGCGAGAGGAGGGGGAAAAAGGGGGAGGGGAAGCGAGGGAATGGGAGAGAGGAGGAAACAGGGAGTAGGTGTGTGTGTGTGTGTGTGTGTGTGTGTGTGTGTGTGTGTGTGTGTGTGTGTGGATGAGTGAGTGCATTCTGGCCGGGTGCCCCATCAGCATTCCTGGAGAGCAGGACTGGGAGAATTAGGGAGAGGGAGGCAAGGAGCTGGGGAGACAAGGAGTTGGGGAGAGGGAGATACAGGGAGTGGGGTTGTGTGAGTGGGAAGGATGCCCCATCAGCATCCAGTACCACTTCAAGGTGAGGAGAGGGGAAGAGAGTGAGAGGATGAGAGGAGAGGAAGAGGGGAGGGGTGTGTGAACAAGTGCGAGTAAAGCTGGGAAGTGATGCTGGGGCAGGGGTGTGTGAACAGGTGGAGTGCATGGGGCGGGTCCCATGCCCAACATGTTAGGAGTTAGCCAGTGTTACAACTTACGAGATGCCTGTTCCTTTACCTGCCTTGTCCCCTTTATGCTCTGCTGTCATGGTGCAGCAAAATTACGAGGGCTTCTGGAGAGCCAAGATCACCATCATTAATAGGAGCCTGTGGGACAACCACACCAACTGGAATGTTGTTGTTGAGGTATGTGTTAGTGGTGGAGATGGGTAGTGAAATGGGTCGGTGGGTGGTGCAATGGGAAAAGCACTCTGCCATTGAGTCAAGCAGACTGAACATTTTGCTGCTGACCTGTCTTGCTGCCACGTATTTCTCACTAATACATCTTATGTCTGGCTGTCCCGTTTGCCTGTCTCTGTCTGTCCCCCACAACATCCGAACATGGGCAATCTGACGGACGTGTTCAGTTGGAAGGCGGAGAACATCTTGCCCTATGGTGTCAACAACACAGCCATCATCTGGGGCATGAAGCAGTACCTCACTTTGTCCCTCTGTTTCCCTTCTGTCTGTCCCCCACAGCATCCAAACATGGGCAATCTGACGGACGTGTTTAGTTGGAAGGCGGAGAATATCCTGCCGTACGGAGTGAACAACACGGCCATCTTCTTTGGCATGAAGCAGTACAACGACGTGCTCATGCCAGCTGGCAAGGGCGGCAACGTGCAGTCGGAAATGCTCTTTGCCAAGACGTCAGAATTCACGCTCGAAGACGGATGGGTCTTCCCTAGGGTGAGTCGCAGGAAGGCATGTCTATTACGTTGGGATTTAAGAAACCTTCCTTTTACCTTGAGGGTTGAGGGGGCTGGAGTTGGGTTTGTAGTTGATGATCTAATGTGTTTGTTGGTTTGCAAGTGCAGAAAATTGTTTTCAATGGCGAGGAGTGCGTGATGCCGGAGGACATTCCAGCATTGCCTGTGAAGCCTGCGCAAAGACAATCCTCGTTGTTGGCTGCCATCTTCGCTGGAGCTGCTGGTTTCCTAGCCTTGATCATGCTCGCATGAGCGTAGTTTTTATTTGCTACAGATAGGTTACGGTTAATTGCTTGAAGCTTCTTTGGTCAAACTCCAAAGGTGAAGATAGAATGCTGTTGTGTTGAGATTCAGATTATGTAGGCGCGCATCACTTGTACTAGTGAATTTGTGCTAGTGAATTTTCCTTGACGGAGACGGACAGGTTAGGCTTGTCGCACATTGTCGCAAGCGAGTACGAAACGAATGTGAGCCACACGTTTGAAGTGGCGTCGACCATTCGTCCGAATTCGATGACGTCCCCAGTCGCTTCTTGCCGCCACGAGTGAATTTCGAGGTCAGCTCTTGCCACCTCCTCGCTGCCAGGAGCGCTGCAGCACCCAAAACGCCATTGGTTGAAGCTGTTGTCACGACGAGCTGATGATGTTCGCGAACACAGCGTAACAGCCACTTTGCTTTCGCCGTGGCCAGTGTCACAACCCCCCCCCCCCCCCCCCCATTCCCCCACAGCTCTTTCATCCTGCCGTCCTGTACTAGAGACGTGGATCCACTCATCATCCAGCGACAACCACACTGCACCACACCGTAACGAACAGCATTGCAAAAAATCGTGTGTAACCCATCTTGAAGTCCGAGCACTTTCAAACGGAATGCACCACCTTCGCCCAACTCTGGACACCAAGGACAGTGTTTTGTGAACTCCAGTACAGTCAGAGACGGTGGTAGCGATCGAGTGTCTGATTCTACACTCGTGATGATATACGAGTAAGGAAGGATTCAGTGATTGCTTTGGCTGTACCTATGAAGCTGAGCCACGTCAGCTTGTATTCTCATGCTGAATCCTGCGATCGCGGGTCCAGCTTGACAAGGTCGGCTCTTTAGGGATTTGAACTAGCGCCTCGCTCAGTGATCGTGTTTTGAATCTTCTTTTCAGTGATCTTGTTTTGAAACTTCTTTCTTTCTTGTTGCTACTTCTGGCAATAACTCGCGGTAATTCACGGTCAAATTCAAAGCGTACCATTCTTACACGTGACTCCTGATGCATATCTTCGTCGCACTTGACACGTAATTATTCGTGCAGGTCTTGGGTCACCATTTCGCCAAGATTACCGATCTGACATTCAGTTGACAGGCCAACATTGCACGGAAACTCGACCTCTGCTCAACGGCTAGTCATCCGTCAAACGCTCGACGGAACCGGCTGCGTGGCTTCAAGCCAGGCAGGGCCTCGAACAAAAATTTCGTTTCGCGTCCGCTGCGTGGCTAGTTCGTTTTGCGTCCGCTGCGTGTCTGGTTCGTTCTGGCATCCGATGGATCCGGAGCTTCTTCCACGTGTCCAGCCACTGCCGGAGCAAGAGGAGCAGCAGGATCGACGGAGCGACAGGCACAGCTTCTATGGTCCGTGCTTAGAAATTTCTCAGCCATTTCGTTTTTCAGTTGACTTAAGAATCGCCAGGGAGCAGCAAATGTAGCCTTTGTGGGCTTTCCTGCTGCATTTGCCATCTCATCTCATCACGTTCAGTTCCGCTTCAGCTGATTGTTTCTGTTCGCTATATAAGCGCTGCGGTTGACGTTACGGAGTGCATCCTAGCCAGGCTGGCTGTCCTTACTTTATCTTACCGCATCTTTATTGAAGAACTGTTTTTAGACGTCTCAAAACACTTCTTCAATCACGTTACGAAGTGCATCCTAGCCAGGCTGGCTGTCCTTACTTTATCTTGCCGCATCTTTCGTTCTCAGCGCTCCTGCTGGCATTGCTAGCTGTAGCCTTTGCACACCGACCAGGCTGCCTCTCCAGAAAGAACCGGCTGGATTTCATGGTTTTGAACCTCGTTTTGTCTATCTTCAGGTCTATGCAACCTGACCGAACTGAAGTTTGATCGTTCTCCTCCATTCCAACCTTTGTGTTTCAGGATTGCTCTTGACGCTGCTTGCTCTGGGTCTCTGCACCCTTACCGGAGTCGCGCTCCAGAGCGGTTGGTCTCCCAGCTCGTTCCACCTTGTCGACAAAATACTGACTCAACTGAAAGTTCATTTGTCCTTCCATCCATTTCTTTTGTGTTTCAGGATTGCCCTTGACGCTGCTTGCTCTGGGTCTCTGCACCCTTACCGGAGTCGCGCTCCAGAGCGGTTGGTCTCCCAGCTCGCTCCACCTTGTCAACAAAATACTGACTCAACTGAAAGTTCATTTGTCCTTCCATCCATTCCTTTTGTGTTTCAGGGTTGCTCTTGACGCTGCTTGCTCCTCTGGGTCTCTGCACCCTGACCGGAGTCGCTCTCCAGAGCGGTTGGTCTCCTGGGTCGCTCCACCTTGTCGACAAAATACTGACCCAACTGAAAGTTCATTTGTCCTCTCCCCCATTCCAACCTTTGTGTTTCAGGGCTGCTTTTGACGCTGCTCGCTCTGGGTCTCTGCACCCTGACTGGAGTCGCTCTCCAGAGCGGCTGGTCTCCCGGGTCGCTCCGCCTTGTCGACGAAATACTGACCGAATCCAAGCCTCTCTGGCAGGCTCGGCTACTGTCCAGCTGGCAGGCTCGGGTGAGCAGTTCGGCAGTGGAAGGTCTGGCAGCGACAGCATCAGCAGCAGAAGCAGCATCGGCAGCAGAAGCAGAACCTGCAAAATTAGCAGCAGCAGCAGCAGCAGCAGCAGCAGCAGTGGTGGAGGCAGATCATGCAGCAGTAGCTTCAGAGGATCCCCGATGTTCCGAGATCGGAAAGAAGATTCTGAAATCTGGCGGGAACGCGGCGGATGCAGGCATCGCCACGGTGCTGTGCATGGGCGTGGTGAATCCCATGGCAAGCGGCATTGGTGGCGGTGCGTTCATTCTCATCCGCGCCCCCAACGGGTCTGCTGAGTTCATTGACTGCCGAGAGACTGCTCCTGCTGCTGCTCACCAGGTACAGGGGCCTTTTTTCCCTCGTATTTAGGATGGTTTGGGTACGTGGGCTGGTTGGGTTCATAGGGATGATTGGGGTGGTTGGGGCAGTAGGGACGATTCGGGTGATTGGAGTGACCAGCATCGCTACAGTGCTGTGCATGGGCGTGGTGAACCCCATGGCGAGCGGCATTGGTGGCGGTGCGTTCATTCTCATCCGCTCGGCCAACGGCTTTGCTGAGTTCATTGACTGCCGGGAGACTGCCCCTGCCGCTGCCCACTAGGTACTGAGGCTTCGCGCTTGGTACTTGGTGCTTGGATTGATAGGGATGATCGGGGTTGTTGGGGCAGTAGTGAGGGATTAGTGCAGTGGATGCAGGCATTGCTACAGTGCTGTGCATGGGCGTGGTGAACCCCATGGCGAGCGGCATTGGTGGCGGTGCGTTCATTCTTATTCGATCAGCCAACGGCTCCGCAGAGTTTATTGACTGCCGAGAGACCGCCCCTGCCGCTGCTCACCAGGTGAGTGGGGTGAGTGGGGTGAGTGGGGTGATTGGGGTGAGTGGGGTGATTGGGGTGATTGGGGTGACCTCTGAGTCAGGGGTACTTGGGGGTGCTTTGGGGTACACTTGTCGGTTCTTGGGGTGACGTGGGGGTGCGTTCATCCTCATCCGCTCGGCCAACGGCTCTGCGGAGTTCTTTGACTGCCGAGAGACCGCCCCTGCCGCAGCTCACCAGGTGACTAGGTTGACCTCTGATTCAGGGGTACTTGGGGGTAGGTGGATGGGTGTACTCGTGGTGTGGTTGCTTGGGGTGGCCCTGCGGTGCAGTACGCTCATTCTCATCCGCAGCTCACCAGGTGACTAGGTTGACCTCCGATTCAGGGGTACTTGGGGGTAGGTGGGTGTACTCGTGGTTTGGTTGCTTGGGATGATTTTTTAGGCGCCTCAGAAATTGCTTGGGGTGGCCTGCGGTGCGTTTATTCTCATCCGCCCGCCCGACAGCACTGCAGAGTTTATTGACAGCCGAGAGACGGCTACTGCCGCTGCTCGCCAGGTACTTGAAGTGGTACATGGGGATACACGGGAGTACTTAGGGTTACTCAAGGGTGCATGGGGTGCATTCATTCTCATCCTCTCGCCGGACAGCACTGCAGAGTTTATAGACAGCCGAGAGACGGCTACTGCCGCTGCTCGCCAGGTACTTTACTTGAAGTGGTACATTACACGGGGTGCTTGGGTTAACTTAGAGGGTCACGCAGGCAATGCCGCTGCAGGGTATTTTTGAGAATTCTCAAAAATACATTGCCGCAGTGACTTTTGAGACGTCTCATAAGTTGAGAATTCTCAAAAAGACATTGCCGCAGTGCTGTGCATGGGCGACTTTTGAGACGTCTCAAAAGTCGCTGTGCTGTGCATGGGCGAGGTGAACCCCTAAACCCTCTTCTTCTACTTCTTCTCCCTTCACCATTTTCTTCCCACAGGACATGTTTGAGGGGCACGAGGAGGATATCAGAAAGGGAGACCTTTTGGTGGGAGTTCTGACGTGTGTTACCGCACTACTTTTCTTCTTCACCTTCATTCTTCCCACAGGACATGTTTGAGGGGCACGAGGAGGATATTAGAAAGGGAGGACTCTCAGTGGGAGTACCCGGGGAGATCGCAGGGCTTTACCTGGCGTGGCAGCGGCACGGCAGGCTGACGTGGCGCGACCTCGTGACGCCAGCCGCTGACATGGCAGAGAGTGGCTTCCACGTGGCAGCTTACCTGGCAAACTCCATAGCCGCCAGCAACGCAACCATCCTCTCAGACCCTGGACTCAGTGCCGTTTTTGCTCCTGGAGGGAAGCTTCTGAGAAAGGGAGACACCTGCTACCGCCCCGCCCTAGCAGCCACTCTTAAAGCCATAGCAGCGACAGGCCCAGATGCGTTGCACCGAGGGGAGCGGGCGAGAGCTCTAGTAAAAGAAATCCAGGCAATGGGAGGGATACTGACTGAGAAGGATTTGGAGGATTTCCAGGCGCAAGTGAGGGAGGTGCTTGTGGGGAAGGCGTTTGGGCTGGATTTCCTGATGGCTCCCCCGCCATCGTCAGGAGGGGCGGTGATTCTACAGGTGTTGAAGATTCTCCAGGGGTATGAGCTTCCTCTGGCGTCAGCAGGAGTGTTGGGGTTGCATCGGGTGGTGGAGAGCTTGAAGCATGCGTTTGCGCTGCGCATGCACCTGGGGGATCCTGCCTTTGTCAACGTTACTGATGTCATCCAAGGTACTTTTGATTTCCAAGTTAGAGATCGATTCAATATCACCATGCTCATTCTGTGTTCAGTGACCCTCCACATCCTTTTTCCAGTCTCACCTTGGCTCGTGTATTGGTAAATCGTTTCCTTGTTCCCCTCTGCATCTCCTTTTCGTTATCCCCTCTGCATCTCCCTCTTTCCGCATATCCCTCTCCCTGCATTTTTCACTCCCTGCATCCCCCTTTCCATGCATCCTCTTCTCACTCCATCTTCTTATCCCTGCATCCAGACATGCTTTCAGACGAGTTTGCCGCCCGGCTTCGATCCGCCATCCACGACAACATCACCTTCCCGCCCGAACACTACGGCCACCCCGAGGACGAGTCAGAAGAGGACAAAAAACGCCACCCGCACCGCCACCAACTATACGCCCAGCTAGACGACCACGGCACGTCACACACATGTGTGGTGGATCAGGATAGAATGGCAGTCTCTATAACATCTACAGTAAACGGCCCCTGGGGAGCGGGCAGGATGGCATCCCAATCAGGGATAGTTCTCAACAATGAAATGGCGGATTTTTCGCTGCCCTACCGGCCGGGCAGGATCCCGATGCCGTTTGAGCCGCCGCCCGCCCCAGCTAATTTTATCCGGGCAGGAAAGAGACCGTTGTCGTCCATGGCTCCGGCTATTGTGCTACAGGACGGGCAGCTGAAAGCTGTGGTTGGTGGGGCTGGAGGAACAGTGATTATTTCGGCTGTTCTGCAAGTGATCCTGCACTTCTTTTGCCAGGGTTATTCACCCTTCAAGGCCATTGACGCCCCTCGTATCCACCACCAGGTGAGTAGCCATGGCATGCTTTGGACCCTGCTTCCACATCAACACATAGATGGAAGTAAGGCCTCCGCAGCCCACCTGTCCTCTTTTGACAGCTCATGGCATGCTTTGGACCCTGCTTCCACATCAACACATAGATGGATATGCGCATACACATGCACATCCGGTATGTCCCTCCAACGATGAAAAAGGCTCATAAATACCTCCCATACCCCACATTCCCCTTTGCTTCCCCTCCAGCTGCTACCAAAAGCGTTGTTCCACAACGGGGGTCACACTCTCAAAGATGGCGAGCGCATCTCACTTCCCAGTCAGTGAATCACTCAGCTGATAAATACTTCCCATATCCCCCCCCTTCCTCCTCCAGCCTCCCCCCAACACGCTCTTCAACTAGGCGGGTCACGCTCTCGATGATGAAAAGCGTCCATGTGCCCCTCCTCTCCCCCTTCCTCCTCCAGCCCCTGCCCAACACGCCCTTCTACGAGGGGGGCCACGTTCTCGACGACGGAGAGTGCATCTCAGTGCGCAATCTATAAGTCAGCTTACAGTTGATTTCCATATCCCATGTGCCCCTCCTCTCCCCCCCCCCACCAGTTGCTCCCCAACACGCTGTTCTACGAGGCGGGCCACGCTCTCGACGACGGAGAGCGCATCTCAGTGCCCAACGCAACCCTCGCTGCCCCATCTCATTCCCTTCCCGTTTTCCACATGCCCCTCCTTCCTCCCTATCACCAGCTGCTCCCCAACACGTTGTTCTACGAGGCAGGTCATGCTCTCGACGATGGAGAGCGCATCTCATCTCAGTGGTCAATACGTCCCATACCCCACACTCCCCCTTTCTCCCCCCAGCTGCTCCCCAACACGGTGTTCTACGAGGCGGGCCACGCCCTCGATGATGGCGAGCGCATCTCAGTGCCCAACGCAACCCTCGCTGCCCTGACCCGCCGCAACCACACCACCTTCCCCATTCAATTCGGGGGCTTCGTTCAGTTTATCGTGCAAGACCTGGACGGCCCTGCAGTAAGTGTTGCTCTGCAGAAGCTTGACGGTCCTGCCAGTGCTGAGCAAAGGCTCGACTCTGCTGCAGCAGTGCCATCTCATGGACCCGGCAGGAAACTCATATCAGACCAGAAAGCAGCCAAGCTTGCGATGGCTGAGCCAAACTTTCCGCCTCCGCTGTTTGGGCAGCTCACTGCAGTGAGTGATCCGCGCAAGGATGGTGGTCCTGCTGGGTACTGACGGCTTAGGGTCTCGATTTCTGTGAGATGTATTGAGGCGCCTCTATAAGCGTCGGTTGGGCGGCTCACTGTGGTGAGCAGAGCAACCCGCCCGCGTAAGGATGGTGGTCCTGCAGGGTACTACTGACTGGTGAGGACAAGATGAAACCTTGTGGGGCTTAAAATTTGTCTCTCGCTGGGCGGCTCACTGCAGTGAGTGACCTGCGCAAAGATGGAAGCGCCTCTGGATATTGGGGCATACGGTGTACTGGATACTCTACAGAAGGAAGTACGGTATTGAGCAGGTAATTCTTGCGCAGTTCAGCGATAATCGTGTACTCAAGCTTTCATAATTATACGATACACGGCTTTTTGTACAGCTCAAGGCGAAACGTGCTATAGCCTGAGATGCTAATAGCAATCTCCTCCTGATCCAATCAAACCTCTCTCCTTCAGTAACCCAAGGTGTCCCGCAAGGGCATCCAGACTCCAGAGCAAAAACTGCAAAATTGTGTGCAAGCAAACAGAAAGCAAGGGGCGAGCACACCAGCCAGCCACTCTACAAGGCCCAGCAAAGAAGGGAGTTTCACCGTGACTTGCAGACCGACTATCAGTCACCAATCAAGAAGGTTTGGCGGCTCAGGGGCAGACCAGCCTGTTCGCAACCGTTTCGCCAGCACTTGCAGTTGCCAAAATTGACATGAATACACGGTACGCTAATGCCAGTTCACTGTTTGCTACCTAATCTACCGTGAAGTCCAAAAAACGCGTCTACAGCAGAAGAAATAGCCATTTCTAGGTTAGATGGTCCAGAAGTCTATTGTTATCAACGATACACCTGATACGAACCGTGCACTTGACATTATATATATGAAAACATATGCTTCTTGATTATATGGACATTCACCCGTTTTCCCCATAACTCGTACGGCTGCAGCCATATATTTGCCAGTGTATGGTAAATGTGATTTTCGTTACAGAACACTAAACCACCCACTTGTTACTACCGCAGTTATGTATGTTTTCAGAACAACACAAGGAGTGCAAAGCAAAAGTAGGTAACGATGCACATGAAGGCAATGAGTGCTCGCACGTCGTCCGCTTGTGGGACAATCGCCACGAGGAGAGACGCTGCTGTCCGCGTGCACCATACTATGGCCACCGCTGCTGCCACTGCTGTTAACACCCCCCTGTTACAAGCATGAAAAGGGACACAATGGTAGAAAAGTAACCAGTGTGTTACTACCTATACATGTGTTGTGTTACACACCTGCAGGGGAAGAAGATGGAGACAGCGGAGTAGAGCACCATGGGCAGCAGCCCATGAATGTCTGTTCCTAGTTGACATTTTACATACCTACTGATGTGTCACACACCTGCGGTGCGAGGGAAGAAAATCGAGACGGCGGAGTAGAGCAGAGCACCATGGGCAGCAGGCCATTAACGTGTTACCTTCACTTGAATGAATCATTGATCATGTGTTCTATACTTCCTGATGTGTTACACACCTGCGGGGGAGTCGACTCGAGAGTCAGATTGATCATGTGTTTTATACTTCCTGATGTGTGACACACCTGCGGGGGAAGAAGATGGAGATGGCGGAGTAGAGCACCATGGACAGCAGCCCAAAGTCACCACTATGAATGTCTTGCAACTCTACACATGTGTCACGTACCTTCGAGGGAAGAAGATGGAGATGGCGGAGTAGAGCACCATGGACAGCAGCCCATAGTCACCACTATTAATGTCTTGCAACTCTACACATGTGTCACGTACCTTCGAGGGAAGAAGATGGAGATGGCGGAGTAGAGCACCATGGGCAGCAGCCCATAGCCAAAGATGGAGCAGCAGCGGTACAGGTCCAGGCCTGCCTGCGCTGATCTGAGTGAGGGAGAAAAGTGGGAGAGTGTGGGGGCGAGAGTGGGTGAGAGAGTGGGGGAGGAGTTGGGGGAGAGAGTGCGGGAGAGAGTGGGAGAGGAGTTGGGGGAGAGTGGGAAGGAGACTAGGAAACAGCAGCGGAACAGCTCCCAATCACCGCATCTCTCGCTCCCACTCACTGCCCACCTCAACCCCACTCACTGCCCACCTCAACCCCACTCACTGCCCACCTCAACCCCACTCACTGCCCACCTCAACCCCACTCACTGCCCACCTCAACCCCACTCACTGCCCACCTCAACCCCACTCACTGCCCACCTCAACCCCACTCACTGCCCACCTCAACCCCACTCACTGCCCACCTCAACCCCACTCACTGCCCACCTCAACCCCACTCACTGCCCACCTCAACCCCACTCACTGCCCACCTCAACCCCACTCACTGCCCACCTCAACCCCACTCACTGCCCACCTCAACCCCACTCACTGCCCACCTCAACCCCACTCACTGCCCACCTCAACCCCACTCACTGCCCACCTCAACCCCACTCACTGCCCACCTCAACCCCACTCACTGCCCACCTCAACCCCACTCACTGCCCACCTCAACCCCACTCACTGCCCACCTCAACCCCACTCACTGCCCACCTCAACCCCACTCACTGCCCACCTCAACCCCACTCACTGCCCACCTCAACCCACTCACTGCCCACCTCAACCCCACTCACTGCCCACCTCAACCCCACTCACTGCCCACCTCAACCCCACTCACTGCCCACCTCAACCCCACTCACTGCCCACCTCAACCCACTCACTGCCCACCTCAACCCCACTCACTGCCCACCTCAACCCCACTCACTGCCCACCTCAACCCCACTCACTGCCCACCTCACCCCCACTCACTGCCCACCTCAACCCGACTCACTGCCCACCTCAACCCCACTCACTGCCCACCTCAACCCCACTCACTGCCCACCTCAACCCCACTCACTGCCCACCTCAACCCCACTCACTGCCCACCTCAACCCCACTCACTGCCCACCTCAACCCCACTCACTGCCCACCTCAACCCCACTCACTGCCCACCTCAACCCCACTCACTGCCCACCTCAACCCCACTCACTGCCCACCTCAACCCCACTCACTGCCCACCTCAACCCCACTCACTGCCCACCTCAACCCCACTCACTGCCCACCTCAACCCCACTCACTGCCCACCTCAACCCCACTCACTGCCCACCTCAACCCCACTCACTGCCCACCTCAACTCCACTCACTGCCCACCTCAACCCCACTCACTGCCCACCTCAACCCCACTCACTGCCCACCTCAACCCCACTCACTGCCCACCTCAACCCCACTCACTGCCCACCTCAACCCCACTCACTGCCCACCTCATCCCCACTCACTGCCCACCTCAACCCCACTCACTGCCCACCTCAACCCCACTCACTGCCCACCTCACCCCCACTCACTGCCCACCTCAACCCCACTCACTGCCCACCTCAACCCCACTCACTGCCCACCTCAACCCCACTCACTGCCCACCTCAACCCCACTCACTGCCCACCTCAACCCCACTCACTGCCCACCTCAACCCCACTCACTGCCCACCTCAACCCCACTCACTGCCCACCTCACCCCCACTCACTGCCCACCTCAACCCCACTCACTGCCCACCTCAACCCCACTCACTGCCCACCTCACCCCCACTCACTGCCCACCTCAACCCCACTCACTGCCCACCTCAACCCCACTCACTGCCCACCTCAACCCCACTCACTGCCCACCTCAACCCCACTCACTGCCCACCTCAACCCCACTCACTGCCCACCTCATCCCCACTCACTGCCCACCTCAACCCACTCACTGCCCACCTCAACCCCACTCACTGCCCACCTCAACCCCACTCACTGCCCACCTCAACCCCACTCACTGCCCACCTCAACCCCACTCACTGCCCACCTCAACCCCACTCACTGCCCACCTCAACCCCACTCACTGCCCACCTCAACCCCACTCACTGCCCACCTCAACCCCACTCACTGCCCACCTCAACCCCACTCACTGCCCACCTCAACCCCACTCACTGCCCACCTCAACCCCACTCACTGCCCACCTCAACCCCACTCACTGCCCACCTCAACCCCACTCACTGCCCACCTCAACCCCACTCACTGCCCACCTCAACCCCACTCACTGCCCACCTCAACCCCACTCACTGCCCACCTCAACCCCACTCACTGCCCACCTCAGCCCCACTCACTGCCCACCTCACCCCCACTCACTGCCCACCTCAACCCCACTCACTGCCCACCTCAACCCCACTCACTGCCCACCTCACCCCCACTCACTGCCCACCTCAACCCCACTCACTGCCCACCTCATCCCCACTCACTGCCCACCTCACCCCCACTCAGTACGCACCTCGCTCCCACGAGAAGGTTGAAAACGGTGTAGATGAAAGTTGATGCCACCACAGACCACCCGAGCACCACCCCAAAGTGCACCTTGGCATGCTGCCACGCACGACAGAATGGACGACATGGGAAAATAGAGGGTTATGGATAATCATTGAGTTGACTCAAAAATAGAGGTGTAAGAATAATCATCTCGGTTTCCACTAGGGCCGACATGGCAGAATTTCTCAACAAGTCGTACCATGTGCTGGCAGAGGCCAAAGAGTACACAGAAGATGAGCGGGCCGGACAGGTCTAACTTGCTGCCCTGTACGGCTGAAGCTGTTAAGTGATGCTCTATCACACCATGAGACGATTCGACGACACAAAACGTACCATGAGCTGGCAGAGGCCGAAGAGCACACAGAAGATGAGCGGGCCGGACAGGTCCCCATCGTCGTAGAGATCGATGTTGATTCGGATGGGGTTCAGAGCTGAGGCGGTCTTTCTGAGGATCTGAGGAATGTTGATTCCCAGCTCTGTTGGGGAGAGGAAAGATGTGAGGTGAAAGGGGAGTGGAGGTTAAGGGATAGCGAGAGGGGTTGCCAAGTAATTTACATGGGTCCCCATCACATCGTCGTAGAGGTCAATGTTGATGCGGATGGGGTTCAGCGCCGAGGCGGTCTTCCTCAGGATCTGATGGATGTTGATTCCGAGCTCTATTGATGGAAAGACGCGGATCAAGGGACAGATAGGGAGAAAGGTGGGCGGTCAAATCTGATTCACATGAGGTCTCTATCGCATCGTCGTAGAGATCAATGTTGTGCGGATGGGGTTCAGCGCAGTCACGGTCTTTCTCAAAATCTGAGGGATGTTTATTCCCAGCTCTGTTGGGGATGAGAAGTAGGTGAGGTGAAGGGAGGAGGTGAAGGGCGAGAGAGGGGGGTTTGCCATACCGCTGTCTGCCTGCTGAGCCGCGATGAGTGGACTCAATCGTCGCATCACCTTATAACGAGCTACCTTCCACCAGAGGCAGCTCGGGTTCAAACGAGCTTGCCCGCCAGACCCGTCGTACTGCTAAAGCCGCATCACCTTATAACGAGTTATTACCTTCCAGCAGAGGCAGCTCGTCTTCAAACGAGTTCTGGCCGAACAGCCCGCCAGACCCGTCGTACTGCGACTGGCCTCCGAAGCGAGGGCCCGCCTGCGGGGGAGGCGCCAAGGCACCTGCGAGACACGGGAAACGATAAACGAAAAACGATAAACAAAAAACGAGTTGTGACAAAACGTATTGTGACGATAACGGACGTGGGAGCCAGCGCACCTGCGAGAAACGGGATGCAAGATTCGAGAAGCTAAGAACAAATCGTGACAAACGTGCTGTAACAGCGACGAGTGTGGGTAAGGGTAATGAGTGTACGAACCCCACCAGCTCCTGGGCTTTCGGTCATTGGCTTACTAACCATATCGCCGCCACAACTAGCTCCACCCCTTTATAATCACAAAATTTCCACTTATACACTCACTGGGCTTGCTCATATCGAAAGACATAAACGCCATGTTGCCGCCTGGTGGACCACCAGCTGCCGGGCCAAATCCCGAACCTGGACCCGAACCTAGGCCTGGGCCGAAGCCTGGGCCCGAACCTAGCCCTGGACCTGGACCCATTCCTGGCTGCGGCGGGAACGGCATGGGCTGCTGCTGATGGGTTCCTTGTGGCCTTCGATGCTGCGGGAAGGTGAGATTCGGATTCGTATCGAAGGAGAGAGAGACATCGTCTTGAGGTCCCATCGTGAAAGACGATGCTTGTTTTGAGCGGTCGCTGGAGACCAGTAGGGATCGGAATTCGCGTGTGAGTCCTCTTCCTTAGGGTAGATCTGCTGAAGGGAAGGGTAGAGGCGACTGCTCCGCGAATCACGCTGCTACAAATTAGTGACACTCCGTCGCTTGGCAGAAATAAGAGACTGAGGCGTTCAGAATAACTTTTTAAGGTTGAAACCCTATTCAACCCTTTAGTCAAGTCAATGAAACGCTTTGAAAACTACTCAACCGCAATGGAGTGAACTGCGAGCAACGGTCTACTGGTGGCGGATTTTGTGGTGTCAAATCTGAAATGGTGGCGGGATGATTGAGGACGATTCATACTTGCTGGACTCAGTGAAGTGTACCTGTGAATACTTCAAACAAAACCGATACATATGATACAGGGAACGGAATTAACGCACACGATACAGAGAGCAGAACCGAGACACCTGATACAGAGTATCAGCTGTTGGTGTATCAATTTCGGCGAAGCTGTTTCTGGTTCGTGGAACAGTCGAGAAGCACGCGTCGCTGGACGACAACGTTCTCGTCGCAGAAGTTTATCCTCCAAACCATCGCGCGACAGCTTGCATGTCTGCTGCGAGGAAGTTGCGAATGGCAAGTCATCGAGCGCCTAGAAGCTTCTTCTGCTGCTCGAATTTCCCAGTAATGCGTCGGTGTTTTCCTCGCATACCTGAAGCTTATATAATGTCGCCATTCGGCTTCAAGATTATCAGGAATTTCAAGAAGTGCTCGGATATACCCAGTTTTCCTGTTTCACAGGGAATTCAAATTCAAGCCTTGTGACGCACCCTGATAAGCTCAGATCATGGCGCCAAAAACCATCCTTATCACCGCGGCTAGTGGAGCGATAGGCAAGGCAACAATCAAGGTATGCTTCCCTTTCCCGCGTCGCCGTCTTATTTTGAAAGTAAGGCGTTCTAAGTCTCTCTATTTGCATTCCCGGCTTGCCCATTCGTCACCCGTCGCCGCGCCGTGATGTGTTTCTTTGTTGCTCTGTTAATCTCCTTTTGTTCCAGGCGCTCGGCAAGACACCTGACAGCTTCATCGTGAAAGCAGGCGTTCGCGACCCCACAAAATCCGCCGACCTCGCCGCACTCGCGCCCAACGCTTCTCCGGTCGCCGCTGACCCGCTGAAAGCGGCGGAAATCGCGGCAGCGCTTCAGGGAGTGGACTACGTGTTCGTGATCGCTCCTGGTCACGCCGACCGTCAGAAGATTTCTATCGCCGCCATTGACGCTGCCAAGGCTGCAGGCGCGAAGGTGAGATGATAATGCTGACTGTGTTGCTACTATCAGCTGCTTTGAGCCAGTTTGTTTTTTGCAGTTGTCATTAAACGATACTGCCTTATTCTTTGCTCAACTTCCCCCTCCCCTCCACATCCCCCCCTCAACTTTCCCTCCCCACCTTCCCTTCCCCACTCCTCTCCCCCCCTCCCCCCTCCCCGCCCCCCCTTTTCCCCCCCAGTTCATCCTAGTCCTCTCAGTCTCCACTGCTGAACTCACCGACACGATTTTCGGCGGGCAGTTTGCGCCTGTGGAGGCACACACCAAGGCATCAGGCGTGCCGTTCACCGTCATCCGCCTGCCGCTGTTCATGGAGAATAACTACGGGTTTGCTGAAAGCATCAAGGATGCGAGCGCCATCTATTCGTCGTACGAGCCCGACAAGCCGTTCACTGCGGTTTCTGTGGACGGTATGTGGTTTAAGTGCATGCAGTATGCGGTTTTAGTGCATGCAGTATGCGGTTTTAGTGCATGCAGTATGTGGTTTTAGTGCATGCAGTATGTGGTTTCAGTGCATGCAGTATGTGGTTTCAGTGCATGCAGTATGTGATACTAGTGCATGCATACTGATGTGCATCAATGTGCATTTAGGTGCAGCAAGGTACATCAAGGTGCAACAAGGTGTGTGCATCTCTGTCTGACTATGTTTTCTTCCTGCACCCTTTTTTTCTCGTGCAGATGTGGGGGAAGCTGCAGCAAAAATCTTTGCTGATCCAGAGGCTCATAAGGGCAAGACTTACAACCTGACTGGGCCGTCCGCAACAGCCACTGATATTGCACAGGCCTTTTCCAATGCCCTTGGGAAAACAGTCTCATACAACTTCGTAAGCCCCTTCACCCAGCACCAAAGCACCAGTGCTGATACTGCAGCTCTGCTATCCTACTGAAGTTACCTAACATGTACGATGATGTTCTCCTCGTTGCTGCAGGTTCCTTACGAGGCGAGCAAGGATTGGTTGACTCACAGTGGTTTTCCGGAGTGGCAAGCGGATGGGGTGATTGAGCTCTTTAAATCCATCAATGCAGGGGCTGTACAAACTAATGACCCTGCTAATGGGAAGACTCTTGAGAAAATTTTGGGACGTCCCCCAAGTTCAGTGAAGGCTTGGGTAGACGCACATGCCGCAGCTTTCAAGTAGAAGAAGCATACCTGGAGCAGCTATAGCAAAAAAAAAGGGAAAAAAGTACGGGATGGGTTGAGTATATGATGCTGACGACAAGTGAGCTTAGGAAGCTCGCTGTCCCTACTACTGATCTTCAGATCCTTCTGTACCATTTGGCAAAATGGATAGGTATTGGAGCATTTGTTAAGACGAGATACGTGTGATTTTAGGAGCAAAGATATACCTGACCAGTATATAGATGTCAATGCATGTTTTAGAGTCAAAGGTGAGTTGCACCAAGATGAAATAAATCTGTTGAGCAATGATAGGGTGACTGTACTGTGTATGCATACATCGCCAGCTGTAAGGCAGCTGTATTCCGCAAACGGAGGCGTGATTGGCGAAGAAAAGGATTTGAGCGAAACCAGCGAAGGTTACCGCACAGATCTGATGCCCCCTGCGAATGTCGCGATGATTTTATAGTCGGAAACCGGGGTCATTTTCCTCGCAGAGAAATATCGCCCGCTTCGTGGAGTTTCGCATTCGTTTCTGGTCCCCTCATATTTCGATTTCTGGCTTATTGGTGATAGCCTGAGCCAAGTGTTTCGCCACTTCCCCTGAGCAGCTTTGTCCCTTTTTGGCGAAGGTCCCCCTGAAATGACGTCATAATGTATTGATGACGTCATTAGGAACCGTCGGCGAAAAACCTTCTGCACTTTCCTTCGCCACCCCGCCAGATGGCTGCAGAACCATGTCAGTGAGAGAGAGACAGACCAGAGAGTGCTAAGGTGCTGGAGTTCACCGACCTGGTCAAGCATTGCCGTTTAGAGCATACGTTTTTGCCGTCGGATCTGAGAGCAATCGACGGCGGATAGGAACATGTCTACCTGGCTTTTGAGACCCGACCCCAATGCGAGCCTAAACCGGTTTAGGGTGGTAGAGGTTCCACGCACACGCGCTATGGGTTGCTATTAGCATACGCGAATGGACTTGGATGGTCTTCTTAGAATCAACTGCCACGTCACAGATCTGAGTCCAGGTTGTCGTGATGTGATTAGAGTTATGTCATGTGCGCAAGGTACGCATTTGCGAATACACATTCAAAGTTATGTAGAGCCATGCATGCGGCGAACTTGGGTCAGAAAAAAAGAAAAACCGCGACCCGGATCCGTGAATGCGCTCCATATAAGTGTCGTCACTCCACTTTGACGACCTGACCCACTTTGTCTGTCACTCTGACGTGACAGATTCTCAGAATTCCGTTCGAGCTATTTCTCCCGTCGAGTTTGATCTAGAACCATGGCGGTTAACACCGTTCTTATCACTGGAGCTAGTGGTTTGGTTGGCAAGGCGACGTTGAAGGTAGGAGAGCTTGTTGTCGTCATCTTTAGTTACCTTATTCGCCATCACCTCTGTTACCTCATTGTGAGGGACCTCAAAATCGCCTCTTTTTGAGGTGCCTTAAAAATAAAGGTAGGAGAGCTTCTTGACGTCATCCGTTGTTACCCCATTCAACGACATTCAAGGTAGGAGAGCTTCTCGTCATCCTTAGTTTCCCCATTCAAAGAGACACTTGAATTCCCTTCACGGTTTGTGAGGCGTTCACACTGACCCGCATTCCTATCGTGTTCTGCATGCGCGGTTGATTTTCCTTCCCTTAAGGCTCTCGGACAGTCACCCGAACGCTTCACCTTAAAGGCTGGCGTTCGAAACCCCTCCAAATCCGCTGCTGATCTCACTGAGATTGCTCCGAACGTCTCAGTGCTCGCTGCGGACCCACTGAAAGCAGCGGAAATTGCAGCAGCACTTCAGGGAGTGGACTACGTGTTCGTGATTGCTCCGAGCCATTCTGACTGCCAGAAGATCGCCATTGCCGCCATTGACGCTGCAAAGGCTGCATGCGCTAAGGTGGGCTGCTCATTACCATCACAACACCGTCAAGGTGAGCTGCTCGTTACTGTCACAACACCGTCAAGGTGAGCTGCTCGTTACTATCACAACACCGTCAAGGTGCTCGTTACTGTCACTTACCGCCAAGGTGAAGGTGACCCACTCGCGTTGTGGCTGTTAGCTTTCTTCAAGAGACACCACTGGGTATTCTGCATCCGATACTCACCTTTTCCCTCCCATCATCTCCCCCTCCTCCCCTTTCGTCCACGCGTTGCTTACGTTTCCCACGACTCCATCGTTTCGTTCTCCTCACGTCGCAGTTCATCCTTCTCCTCTCAGTAGCCACTGCCGAACTGCCCGACTTAATCTTCTCTCGGCAATTCCGGCCTGTGGAGGCACACGTGGAGGCGTCTAGCGTGCCGTACACCGTCATTCGTCTGCCATCCTTTATGGAGAATAACTACGATTTCGCAAAGACGATTAAAGAGTATAAAGCGTTTTATTCGTCGTACGAGCCAGACAAGCTATTCAGCCAGGTCTCTGTGGACGGTACGTGGTGTCACTGACAATCCGAGTGCAGCAATGCCAATGCAGGTGCACCAATGCCAATGCAGGTGCACAAACGCCAATCCCATTGCACCATGCAGATCCAGGTGCGCAGCTGTGTTAGTATTGTGTCTCCAGGAGTTTCCAGGGTAAAATTTGTGTTTGCAGGTGCGAGAATGTGCCGTCCATTTTGGTGAAAACACACGCATTTTGTTGCAAAAATGTGCGTTCTGACGGAAGAATGTGCATTCTGGTGAAAAAATGTGCATTTGCAATGTGTATACATGTGACCATGCATCCAGTTGGTGCATACTTATTCTTCTGTGCCATACTTGTGTTTGGCAGATGTTGGGGAGGTAGCAGCAAAAATATTAGCTGATCCTAAGGCTCATAAGGGCAAGACCTACACCCTGACTGGGCCCTCCTCAACTGCGACTGATATTGCAGAGGATTTTTCCAGAGCTCTTGGTAAAAGAATCTCCTACGAATTTGTAAGTACTTCTCCAGTAGCAAGCTTGTTGTGGTTACTCTGTTTTACAAGCTGGTAGGTTTTAATCAACTCATTCCTTTTTTTCCTACCCTGCCCTTGAGAATATTTTAGGACGTCCCCCAATTTCCATGAAGGCTTGGGTAGATGCACATGTTGATGCCTTCAAAGCCCAAAAAAAGAAGTGATGGTGAGTACTTGAGCATGGAGATGGTTGGGTGCCCAAAAATGTATGCGGTTTTTGGTATTTGAGAATGTGCAAAGGACTGAATGGCTAGAGAGTGGCAGATGTATACTAGGCGTGGTGATATATGTTTCTGTTGTGATGCATTTTAGCATTCAGCCTTGTGAAGGTGTCAATTCGCACAAACCAGCAGAACCATACTTAACCTTATGAGATATTTGAAGAGAGTTATGCCGCAAAAACGAAGTGCGAGCTATGCCTGGCAGACTTCAAAGTTGTGAGCTTGCTGAGGTGTCTCAGCCACACCCTAACCAGACCAACTTGCCCAGCGTCTAAAATTAGCGTCTCAAAGGCTGACAGGTCGGCGAAGCAAATTCCGCTGAGTCATTCTCGAGATCCCATTCGTCCAGATGCTCGCGTCGCACATTAGTCGAATTTCGAGTTCGGCTCGGTGACGCCAAGGCCATTCGTATGAGTTCTCGAGGGTGTTGGATAGGTTTGGTTTGCCCCACCTCCTTCCAGAAGAAACAAGAAAGGGAGAGTATATCCCAACTCCATAGTTTCAAAAATATCTCAAATTTAGTCTTAATTCGACAAAAAAAGTACAGCTTTCTGGAAGTTTGCTCACGCGAGGCCCAGATTATGTTCAAAACTGGTCCTGCGGGAAAAACTTTTCGACACGTGTCCTATTTCTTATTAGCAATTTCTGACGGGGGCAAAAAACATAGAGCCCCTTGGGGAACCAGGACACACGTTCGGGAGGGACCAACCCTAAACACGGGGAGCCGCTTGGTGTTTAGGGTTGATCCCTCCCGCAAATGTGCCCTAGTTCCCGAGGGGTTTTATCATTTTTTGCCCCGTCGAAATTTTTTCAAAGCGAAATTGGACACGTGTCGAAAATTTTGCCCCGCAGGACCAGTTTTGAAAATACTTTGGGCCTCGCGTGAGCTAAATTCTAGAAAATAGTACTTTTCGAGTGAGCCCGTGGCTAAATTTGAGAGAAATCTGAAATTATGGACCTGAAATATAGTTTCCCAACAAGAAACCAGGTTCGTTTGATGCCAAATCAGCCATAGTGCTTCAGCGAAGAAGCTTTCGTCGTTAACTCGCTTCATAAGGACCCTGGTTACCGGATTTTGATAATGTTTTGGTGGATGATGGCCTTCGAAGCTCGCAAACTTTTCTTGGGATTTCATGTCCACCTCGAAATTTGATTGGTTTGGTTCGGTTTGGGTTATCCCGCGTCACTACACTTTCTGCTCCCCTTGTTGCCAGCATCATCACTCCCTTTCCTGTTCCTTGGGTTTCCCTCTCTCCCTTGCTTGCTGCTCTGCTACGCCTTGGGGTTGTGTTTCAAGTAGGAGAAAGATAGAATAATTCAACCTCTTTCCACGCAGTGGCTACTGCAACGGAGTCTTGCATTAGTGACGCTTATCTCGTGTGCTCTGTTTAATTCAAAGCTCTCATATCTTGGCTGTAGCTCGACAGGTATAGGAACGTGGATTTAGATCAGTCATCGACGCGGATTCATATTGGAAATTACAAGAAAAGTTGTAACAGGAATTGCTGGGTAGTTAAATCAGGGGTCTGGGGTTTAATAACAGAGTTCGTCGATTTCTCCTCACCCGTTCTTTCCTGCTGATAGAAAGGAATTCCGGAGCTGGTTTAGGTTAGGAGTAAGGTCCTCTCATGTCTACCGAAGCTGACAAACCCGCTCCCGTCGAGGGAGATGCTGCTAAGGTCCCTGCACCTTCCACTGCCGAACCTGGAAAAGCTCCCGAGCCTGAAAAGCCCGTTGAAGCTGAAAAGGCCTCCGAACCTAAAAAGGCTTCTGACGCCGACGCGTCAGCCGACAATGCGGACAAGGGGGACGGCTGGCAGACGGTGACATCACGCGAGAGACGAGATGGCAACAGGGGGCATTGGAGGGGACGAGGCCGCGGAGGCAGAGATTCGCACCACCATCACGGCGGGAATCGCAATGCAGGTGGTTACAGACGTTCGCACGGCCATGGAGGAGGACCCGGGGGACCCGGAGGCTCCGGCGACAAATCGAGCGGTGGGGGTAGAGGCGGTGTTGCCGGCAAAGGCGGCGCTGTCGCCGCCGCCAAATCCGGCGGCGCTGTCGCCGCCGCCAAATCCGGCGGCGCTGCTGGTGCTGCTGCTGCGGCAGCTCCCCCTGCTGGAGCTGCTTCGGCGGACGGCAACGCCGCTGCCGGAGCGGCCGGAGCTTCCAGCGCAGCGGAAGGCGCAGGGAAGGCCGGGGATGGCGGAGATAGCGGAAGCGCGACGGCCGGCGCGGCGGGTCAGAAAACCGGAAGTGATTCCAACGAGGGGAAAGGCGCAAGCGGGGGGGGCGCAGGGGGGAATGCGCATGGGCACGGGCACGGACATGCGCACGGACATGGACATGGGCATGGGCATGGGCATGGGCATGGCGCGTCTGGTAAGGGCTCGGTTTGGCAGGTCAAAGGGAAGCCTGGAAAAGGGGTATGGGCGCAGGTGGTTAAGAGTGAGCCAGGCAAGGCCCGAACGCACCCCGGGCCTGATGAGGGGTTAGCTTCGCTCGTGCGAGGTTCGGACGCAGCTGGAGACGCGCCGGCGAGTGCCGAGCCTGCGAAGCAGGCTGGGGGAAAGGCTGGTGGGGCGGATACGAAAGCGGGGTCGGAATCAGCGAAGCAGGGTGGGGGGAGGGGTGGTAATGCAGGCTCGGGGGGGCAGAAGGGTGGTGGAGGGAGGGGGGAAAGGGGGAGGGAAGGGAGGCAAGGGCGGCAAGGCATGGCATAAGGATAAGGACAAAAAGGAGGAGAAGAAGGAGGAGAAGAGAGACGAGAAGGAGGATTCTGAGAAGAACAAGGAGAAGGAGAAGGGGAGTGAGGACAAGGAGAGTGCTAGTGGCGGTGCGAAAGACGGCGGGGAGGGTAAGGGTTCCAAAGGAGGGGGACATGGAAAGAAGGACGGGAAGTCGGATCAGAAGGAGCAGAAGGATCAGAAAGAGGGGAAAGAGCCTAAGGAGCACAAGCCGCCGAAGCAGGCATGGCGCAAGCACAACAGGGACGGCGAGAAGGGCGGGGCGGCGGCGGCCGCGGCGGTGGTAATGGGCGCAGGCGCGACGGCGTGGCCTGCGCTTTCCGAGGCGGATGCTGCTGCTGCGCGCGCGGCGGAAACCGGCAAGGGCGCGGGCGGAGATGATAAGGTGCGCGGGTGGGAGTTGGTAGATTTGGAAATCTCTCAGAATTGTGTGACTGTGGGGAGGATCAGGTGAGGAAGGGCTGTGCTGGTGGTAGGGATGTTGATGACAAGGTGGGCGAGGGAAGATCCTTTTGAAGCGCCCCAAATTTCGGCTTGAAGACACAAGTGGGAGGATACGCCCAGTTCTGGAAATAATGAGAATCTGAGAAATCGCGGATTCGAGAATTTGAGATTCCTTCATCATGATTCTTGAAGACACAAGTGCCAATCGAGAATTTGAGACGCAAGGGCGGTAGTGCTGGTGATGACGATGTCGCCCCATCGTGGGCTATGATTAAAAGCGATTGTGTTGGTGCGGATACTTAGGGATTGCCTTGACCTGGGATCGTCAATATCCATTGCAGCCCCGCCTTGTCTTCCTCTTGCCTTTCTTGGTCTTCCTTTAATTGCCCTTCTTGGTCGTCCTTCTGTTCCCTTTCTTGATCTTCGTCCTGTTGCTCTTCTTGATCTTCCTCCTATTGCCTCTCTTGGTCTTCCTCCTCTCAGTTCTCCTTCTTCCTGCCCCGTCGTTTCTTCTCGCTCTTTTGGTTGCTTGTGTAGGCCATGAATCAGAATCAGCATAGACACGTACCTTCTTAACCCACCCCTCCCCCCCCTGCCCGGTCCCTTCTCCCCACTCTTCTCCCCCCTCCCTTTTGCTCCCCACCTCCCCTTTCCTCTTCCCCCTCCGGTCCTCCCGTCTATCCCAACGCTCCAGGCGAAGCCTGCTGCTGGTCTCGCTATAATTGCAAACGAGGGCGACAAATCGTCTGCTGCCACGTCAGACAAGCAGAGCGGCGCAGCGGCGGTTACAGCAGCAGACGCAGCCAGAAAGGCTGGCGCTGCTGACGTGGCAGTTGTGAGCGTGCGTGAGGTGAATGGGGGGCAGTACAAGCGCGGGGGCCATCAGGGGGGCGGGGGGGCGCACCATGGCGGAAGAGGGGGAGGCGTGGGCGGAGGGGGATACCAGAGGCGCGCGCATGTGGGCCCCGCACAGGGGGGGAACGGCGAGGGGAAGCCTCAGGGCGGCGCTGGGCGCGGGCAGGGGGGGCAGCAGGGGCAGGCGCAGCAGCGAAAGCAGCAGCCTGGGGGACAGGCGCAGCAGCAGCAGGCGCAGGGGCAGCAGGGACAGGCGCAGGGGCAGGGGCAGGCGCAGGGGCAGGGGCAGAAGCCGCACGGGCAGGGGGGGCAATGGGGGGATGGGCGGGGGCGGGCGCGGGGGGCACATGCGCGGGCAGGGGAGGGTGGTGGTGGTGGCGGACGATCCCCCCCTCACGGAGTTCGTGGCTGCTGGGCCCAGAAGGTCCGCGGCTGCCATGGCCAATGGCATGGGCGGCAGCTATGGGTACCCCATGGTCGTGGGAGGTGAGCATTGGGTGCAGTAACATGCCACGGCATGGAAGGGAGCTGTTGGCATCCTATGGTGGTGGGAGCTGGGCAGGGGAGGGTGGTGGTGGTGGTGGTGGTGGTGGTGGTGGTGGTGGTGGTGGTGGTGAAAGGTGAGCGGGGCAGGGGAGGGTGGTGGTAGTGGTGGTGGTGGTGGTTTAAGGTGAGCAGGGGCGGGTGGTGGTGGTGGCGGACGATCCCCCCCTGACGGAATTCGTGGCTGCTGGGCCCAGGAGGTCCGCGGCTGCCATGGCCAATGGCATGGGAGGGAGCTATGGGTACCCCATGGTCTTGGGAGGTGAGCATTGCGTGCAGTAGCGCAAAGCAGCGAATGAGCTTGGCATGGCAGGGACGGGAGCTGTGGGCAATCTGTGGTGGTGTGGTGGGCGGTGGGCAGGGGCGGGTGGTGGTGGTGGAAGGTGAATGGGGGGGCAGGGGCGGGTGCAGCCATGCGTGCAGCCAACGCCCCCTACTACATGCCCTACCGCATGGCACCTCCTGTCCCTGTTGACCCCATGTCACTTCTCATGGTCACGTCACATCGCACCCCTTGTTGTCTGCGCTCTTCACTCCCCTCCCCCCAAAACAACGCACGCAGCCAACGCCCCCGACTACATGCCCTACCGCATGGTTCCACCTGTCCCGGTTGATTCCATGTCTCATGGTCACATCAGTCTCAGTTACGTTTCTTCTTCTTCTTCTGTTTCTCCTACTTTCCTCCCCATCAATGCAAGCAGCCAGCGGCCCCTACTACATGCAATACCGCATGCCGCCTGTCCCGGTTGATTCCAAGTCTCCTAGTGTCTCCTACCTCCCCTCCTTTCCCGTTTCACCAATGTGTCAATGCGTGCAGCCAACGGCCCCTACTACATGCAATACCGCATGCCGCCTGTCCCGGTTGACCCCATGTCGGGCCTTCGCACCGCTCTCACAAAGCAGATCGAGTACTACTTCAGGTTAGTTGCCCTTTCACTCACTTGCAGTGGCCCTTCCGAATCGTAGCTTGCATGTGATGTGACCCTCTTGTTGCCAGTCCTGTTGTGCTGAATTCACGAGTGTTGGTGTCCCGGTGGACCCCATGTCGGGCCTCTGTACGGCACTCACCAAGCAGGTCGAGTACTACTTGAGGTGGGTAGCTGCTCTTCCCCGTTCCCCATCTACCCCACCCACCCCCCATCATCCAGCATTGAGAATCTCTGTCGCAACCTCTTCCTTCTATCCAAGCTGGGTCTAGTTTTGAGGCGCCTCAAAACTAGTCCCCGATCTGCCCCACTCCCCATCATCCAGTACTGAGAATCTGTGTCGCAGCCTCTTCCTTTGCTCTTCCTCATCCCCTGTCTGCCCCAACCCCCATCATCCAGCATTGAGAATCTCTGTCGCGACCTCTTCCTTCGGTCCAAGATGGACGCTGAAGGGTTTATTCACGTGGACGTAATTGCGGCTTTCAACAGGGTAAGGTTGAGTGCAGTAAGGTTGAGTGCGGTAAGGTTGGGTTGGTTGTGGTCAAGTGCGGCAACATTGAGCAAAGCAGTGACCTCGTCCTTGGGTCCAAGATGGACGCCGAAGGGTTCATTCATGTCGACGTTATTGCAGCTTTCAACAGGGTAAGATTGAGTGCGGTAAGGATGAGTGCAGCTAGGTTGAGTGCAGTGAGATTGAGCTGGTTGCGTTTGAGTACGGTATGGTTGAGCAAGGTAGTATAAGTCAATAGTCAGCTTTAACAGGGCAGCGCCTCAAGAATAAAAAAAAAGCATGCACTCTCTCTCAACAAGACCTCTCTGCTCACTTCCCTTGCCAACTCCCATCCCATGAGCTTCCTCGCCCATGAGCTTCCTCGCCCATGAGCTTCCTCGCCCTTTCCCCTTATCCACTCCTTTCCCTCCCCCCGTGTAAGGAGTCATGTTTTGAGTCGACTCAAAACACGACGCAAAGCATGCACTCTCTCTCAACAAGACCTCATTGCTCACTTCCCTTGTCAGCTCCCATGAGCAATCCCTCGCCCATGAGCAATCTCTCGCCCATGAGCTTCCTCGCCCTTTCCCCTTATCCACTCCTTCCCCTCCCCCTGCTCCCTTCCAGGTGCGCATGCTCACCCTAGACAAGGCATTCATTCTCAGCTGCCTTGCCAACTCGACTCCAATCAGTCTCTCCTCTCCGCCCCTTTCTTTCCTTTACCCCCTACCCAAGTCTTACCCACTCCCCCCCTCCACCCCCCTTCCCCCAGGTGCGCATGCTCACGCTAGACAAGGCATTCATTCTCAGCTGCCTTGCCAACTCCACTTCACTCTCCCCTCCTCTCTTCCCCTTTCATCCCTATACACCCCCTTTCCTCTCCGCCCCTCCCCCTATCCTCCCCCTTTCCCCCAGGTGCGCATGCTCACGCTAGACAAGGCCTTCATTCTCAGCTGCCTTGCCAACTCCACGTCAGTGGAAGTGCAGGTATGCGGTGTGCATGTCAGTCACTAATTACCTTCAAACATGCGGTTTAATTTAAGGAGTGCTGATGAGTCGAAGCGAGAGCGCGTATACGTGGCGGTTGCCCATTCGTTTCAAGTCGTCTCGGTATAAGCTCCAATTGCAGTATGATAGAGATGTTTTTTCAGAGATTCCGTTAGAATATATAAGGGGAAGGCAAGTGAAGTGTCTCAAATCTTTCGGAGGCAATCTCCTAGTGAAGGTACATGTATCGCTCTCCATGGGCGTATGCCCATCCCATGTGCCTCCCTCCCCTCAACTCTTGCCTCTCCTCTCTCGTTTCTCTCGTCTCTGAAATCTCTCGTATCCCCTCTCTCCTCTCTCCTCTCCTCTCTCCTCTCCTCTCTCCTCTCTCCTCTCTCCTCTCTCCTCTCTCCCTCTCTCCTCTCCTCTCCTCTCCCCTCTCTCCTCTCTCCTCTCTCCTCTCTCCTCTCCTCTCTCCTCTCCTCTCTCCTCTCTCCTCTCCTCTCTCCTCTCCTCTCTCCTCTCCTCTCTCCTCTCCTCTCTCCTCTCCTTTCTCCTCTCCTCTCTCCTCCTCTCTCCTCTCCTCTCTCCTCCTCTCTCCTCTCCTCTCTCCTCCTCTCGCCGCCTCTGTCCTTTCTCAAGTCGCCTCATCTCCACCTCATCCCTCTCTTCCCCCAACCCCCTCCCACTCAGGGCGAGAAGCTGAGGAGCGCAGTGACTGGAGCAACTGGTTGCTGCCCACTGCTGCCCACTGCTGCCCTCTTTATCTCCCCTCTGTTCCCCCTTCTCTCCCCTCCGCTCCCCACCTCTCAGGGCGAGAAGCTGAGGCGGTGCGGTGACTGGAGCAACTGGTTGCTGCCCACTGCTACCCTCTTTATCTCCCCGCTCACCCTATCTTGCCCTCCCCTCCTCTCTTCCCCCCACCCCCCTCTACCCCCACACCACACCCCTCAGGGCGAGAAGCTGAGGCGGCGCAATGACTGGAGCAACTGGCTGCTACCCGCACCCGGTCAGGAGGGGGCAGCAGAGCAGGGAGGCTGATTCATCACACTCACTCCCTCTCCCCTCCTCTCCCTGACGTTACCTCCCCTCCATCTCTCCCTCCCCCTCCCCCTCTCCCATCCTCAGGGTGAGAAGCTGAGGCGGCGGAATGACTGGAGCAACTGGCTGCTGCCCACGGGGCACATGCAGGCTGTGGTTCCCCACTCCGAGGACGCACCCGGTCAGGAGGGGGCAGGAGAGCAGTGAGGCTGGTTCTTCACACTCGCTCCCTCTCCCCTCCTCTCTGCCGTCACCTCCTCTCGATTTCCCCCTCCCCCTCTGCCCGTCCTTGCCAACCTTTCAGGTTGAGAAGCTGAGGCGACGGAATGACTGGAGCAACTGGCTGCTGCCCACTGCTGCGCTCGATCTTACCTTCCACTCCTTTCTATCCCTCTCCCCCCATTCCAACCCCATCCCACCTCTCAGGGTGAGAAGCTGAGGCGGCGCAGTGACTGGAGCAACTGGCTGCTGCCCACGGGGCACATGCAGGCTGTGGTTTCCCACTCAGAGGACGCACCCAAGGCAGGAGAGGGAGGAGAGGGAGGAGAGGGAGGAGAGGGAGGAGAGGGAGGAGAGGGAGGAGAGGCAGGGAAGAAGGGAGGGGAGAAGGGGGAGGGGGAGAAGGAGGCTGCTGCTGGCGCTGACGAGGGGCAGGGAAAAGATCCCGAAGGAGAGAAGAAGGAAACCCCCGACGCTGCTGCTGCCACTGGTGCTGCAGCCGCTGCTGATGCCGCTGCTGATGCTGCTGCTGGTGCTGCTGCTGGTGCCGATGCAGCTCCCTCTTCCCCTGCTGCTACGCTCCTATTCGCCCCTCGCAACATCCCCTCAGCAGCAGATGGGGAGGCTGATGATGAAGGGGAGGAGGAGGGGGGAGGGCAGCGGGCAAATCGCGAAGGCACTCCTGCTAGGAGCGTTGGGAAGCGGCGCGGCAGCAGCGTGAAACGAGCCGCCTCTTCCGGCCGCTTCTCAGCTAGCAAGTCCGGAGGGCTTTCGGCCGCGTTTGCCGCCGAAGCTGCAGGTTCGGGGGGCCGAACCGAGGGGTTGGGTTCGCTGCCGGGCCTGGCTGGGAAGGTGGCTGCAGCGATTGAGGAGGCTGGGAAGGGGGGGGAAGCGGGGAAGAGTAAGGAGGAGAGGGAGAGGGAGAAGGGGAAGAGGGCTGCAGAGGAGAGTGAGGCGTTGACTGAGGCGAGTGAAGCTGAGGACACGTTTCAGTTTAGCGGGGACGAGCTTGGGGAGGGGAAGAAGCGGGCCGGCAAGCCCAGGAGGAAGCAGCGTGCCAGGTAGGTTCCATGATGCTTTGGCTGTGCTGCCATAGTTTCCTTGTTGAGTGAACGAGGCGGCAGAGGAGAGTGAGGCGTTGACTGAGGCGAGTGAAGCAGAAGATACGTTTCAGTTCAGTGGGGACGAGCTTGGGGAGGGGAAGAAGCGGGCCGGCAAGCCCAGGAGGAAGCACTGTGCGAGCTAGGCTCTTACCATGTCAGGATTAGGTTAGGGGAAGGGAAATCAGGGTTTAGGGTAAGGGCTTGGGGTTTAGGGCTGGAGATTAGCTTGGGGAGGGGAAGAAAAGGGCAAGCAAGCCCAGGAGGAAGCAGCGTGCCAGGTAAGTTTTTTTTCCGTGCTGGTTTTGATGGTAAACATAATAAGTGTTTAGGGTCAGTGCCGACCCTCCTTTCACTTGCTCTCATTCACACACACTATTTATACACACATGCTGTTAGACAGAGGGCACCCATATGCATGCATGGGTCACACACTTGTGTTAATATGTCTATGTGTTTAAGCGTGCACATTGGATCTCATTCGCACACATTCCTCACACCCACAAGTCAGAGGAGGACACTACAGACATTCTCACTCTCATTCTCTCTCTCATTCTCACTCATTCTCACTCGCTCTTTCTCACTCTCACACACTCACTCACACACAGGTCGGAGGACGATACAACGAATGACTGATTCTCACTCTCACTCATTCTCTCTCGTTAACACACCCTACTCACACTCACAGGTCTGAGGAGGACACTACAGACGACTCTGACTTCAACGATGTGAATCCCACTCAAATACACACACTACTCACACTCATGTGTTCATGTGTTCGCGTGTCTCCCCCTGCCTATACACACGCCACCACACGCAGGTCGGAGGAGGATACAACAGACGACTCTGATTTCAACGACGTGAATCCCAGCCTCAAGAACCTCGTTATTGTCACACAGGTAAGAACCTCTTTTTTGTCACACAGTTTAGGTAAAAACCTCGTTCTTGTCACACAGATAAGAATCACATTACTGTCTCTCCAGTGAGAATCTCGTTTGACAAAGCGGAGAACAAGCAGAGGAAGCAGCAGGAGCAGCAGGGCAACAGGATCTATGTGCTTGTTCTTCCCGACCACCTCTTCTTCGTGTGATGAGTCGGTTTTTGAGTCGACTCAAAAACAGGATCTATGTGCTTATTCTTCCCGACCACCTCTTCTTCTTCCCTGCCTATCAAAGGCGACCGGGCAACGGCAGTGCATTCCAGCAGCAGCAGCAGCAGCAGCAGCAGCAGCAGCAGTAAGGGGGTGAAATGGTGTGAGGCGCAAGAAGAGCGACGAAATGCAATCCCCCATGCTCACTTATGCTTCATAGCCCCACCTTTCCGCCCCTCCTCCCCCCTCCCTCTCATTCCCTTCCTATCAGAGGCGCCCGGGGCAGGGCAGTGCGTTTCAGCAGCAGCAGCGTGGCGGTGTGAGGCGCAGTCAGGGCAGGGAGGATGGGGCGAGTGGCAGCAGCTACGAGGGCGGGTCGTCGTTGGTGAGAAGGGAGAGAGTATGAGTGAGTGGGTGTGAGATGCAGGGCAGCGAGGGAGGATGGGGCGAGTGGCACCAGCTACGAGGGCGGGTCTTCCCTGGTGAGAAGGGAGAGTGTGGTGTGGGTGCTTGATTGTGTGGGAAGGTAGAGTGTGGGTGCGTTAGTGAGTGGGAGAGGGTGTGGGACGCAACCAGAGCAACGAGGGCAGGGAGGAGCCACGTGAAGCGAGGTTGTTTTTGAGACGTCTCAAAAACAACCACGTGTTTGAAGAAGTGTTTTGAGACGTCTCAAAAACAACCTCGCTTCACGTAGAGTGTGGGCGCGTTAGTGAGAGGGAGAGGGTGTGGGATGCAACCAGAGAAACGAGGGCAGGGCAGGGAGGGCGGGGCGAGTGGGAGCAACTACGAGGGTGGGTCTTCCCTGGTGAGATACTTGATTGTGGCTGTTGCTTTGTTGGGCGGGTCTCCACCAACCCCCTCCCCCCTTTCCCCCCCTTTTACCCTCTCCCCTTTTATTCCCCCTCCCCCTCCCAGTGTCCCAACTACCGCGCCAGCAGGCTATCTGCTGAATGGCTGTCTTGGTCTCATTCTGCCCTCTCTTCCTTCCTCTCTCAACCCATTTTCCCTCCTCCCATCTCTTTCCCCCTCCCCCTCCCAGTGTCCCAACTATCCAGCCAGCAGGCTGTCTGTCTGCTGAGAAAGGCGAGCAGTCAGGGACGGACGGAGAGGGGCCTGGCACCCCACCACACCTGACCACACGCCCTTTCTCCTTGCTCCCCTCCCACCTCCCCCTCCCCCGCCCCCTCCCCCCCTTCCCCATCCCCAGGGTCCCAACTACCGCGCCAGCAGGCTGTCAGCGGAGAAGGGCGAGCAGTCAGGGACGGACGGGGAGGGGCCTGGCAGGTGAGCGCGGGGGGGGGAAGTGGGGGAGGGGGGAGAGAGGAGAAGGGGGAGTTGGGAGGGCAGGGGAAGGGGAAGGGGAGGTGCAGGAGAGGGGCGAGCAGTCAGGGGACGAACGGGGAAGGGCCTGGCAGGTGAGCGTGGGGGGAAGGGGAAGGGGGAAGGGAAGGGGAAGTTGGAAGGGCAGGGGAATGGCAGGGGAAGGGGAAAGGGAAGGGGAAGGGGAGGTGCATGAGAGGGGCGAGCAGTCAGGGACGGACGGGGAGGGGCCTGGCAGGTGAGCGCGGGGAAAAGGGAGGAAAAGGGGAATGGGGAAGGGAAGGGAAAGAGGGGGGAAAGGGGGAAAAGGAGGTCTATGAGAGGGGCGTGCAGTCAGGGACGGGAGGGGCGTGCAGTCAGGGACGGGAGGGGCGTGCAGTCAGGGACGGGAGGGGCGTGCTGTCAGGGGAGGGCCCTGGCAGGTGAGCATGGGAGAGGAGAAAAGGAGAAGGAAGTGGGAAGAGGGGGGGGAAGAGGAAGGGGAGGTGCATGAGATGAGAGGGGCGAGCCGTCAGGAACAGACGGGGAGAGGCACGGCAGGTGAACGAAGAGGAGGATGAAACATGGAGGAGAGGGAGGGACGGGGGAGGATGAGGGGGAGAGGAAAGGAAAGGTGCATGGAAGGGGGGGGGGAGGAGTGGCAGGTGACGGGAAGAGGAAAGGGCTAGTGGAAAGGGGAGTGGATTAATGAAAAGAGGGGGGAAGGGGAGGTTGAGAGATGAGGAGTCAGGGACAGGAAGGGGATTGCACACAAATGTCATGCATTCCCCCTCGTCTTTTCCGTACCCCACCACCCCCCCCCCCCCCCCCCACTCCCCTGTCCCCCCCTCCCTCTCCTCCCTTTCCTTTCCGCTTTTCTCCCCGCCTCTTTCCCCCTCTCCCCCCCCCCCCCCCTTCCCCTGGTCCCCCCCCATGACCAGGTTCCACGTGGGCAGTCAGGGCAGCAACGGCAGCCCAGACAACTTCAGCTCGCACGTTGCCCGCGGCCCCAGGGCCCGCCACCCCCAGCAGCAGCAGCAGCGCGCCTCCTGGACTCCTGGCATCGCCCACATGACTCACTCACCCACCCCTCACATATAACCTCCCCCTTTCCTCCCCCCTCGTTTCCTCCTTCCGCCCCGTCCCTCTTCCGCCCCCTCCCTCCCTCCCTCCCCATGACCAGGTTCCACGTGGGCAGTCAGGGCAGCATCGGCAGCCCAGACAACTTCAGCTCGCACGCTGCCCATAACCTCCTGAGATAGCACACGACTCACACCCACTTATCACATACCCCCTCCCCTCCCATGACCAGGTTCCACGTGGGCAGTCAGGGCAGCAACGGCAGTCCAGACAACTTCAGCTCCCACGTTGCCCGCGGCCCCAAGGCCCGCCACCCCCAGCAGCAGTAGCAGCAGCGTGCCTCCTGGACACCCGGCATCGCCCACATGACTCACTCACCCACCCCTCACATATACCCTCCCCCTCTCCTTCCCCCTCGTTTCCTCCTTCTGCCCCGTCCCTCCCCCGCCCCCTCCCCTGCTCCCCCCCCCCCCCCCCCCCCCTCCCGTTGACCAGGTTCCACGTGGGCAGTCAGGGCAGCAACGGCAGTCCAGACAACTTCAGCTCGCACGTTGCCCGCGGCCCCAGGGCCCGCCACCCCCAGCAGCAGCGCGCCTCCTGGACACCCGGCATCGCCCACATGACTGCAGCCGCCGCTGCCGCCGCCGCCGCAGCAGGAGGAGCGGCAGGAGCAGCAGGAACGGTGGGAGGAGTGGGAGCGGTAGGGTTGGGGGCAGGAAGGGCGCAGCCGGTGCCTGTGTGGCGGCCGGGGCTGGGGGGGCTGCCTCCGAATGCGGTGGAGCTGGGCGGCAGCAGTTGGCGGAGCACCAGCAGCTTTGGATCGCCACAGCTCATGGCGTTTTACTTTGGAGCCACTCCCCCCGGCTCCTACAGGTAAGCCAGGCCGTGTGCATGTGCCGTGTTGTGTTTGTTTGGAGGCCATGGCTGGGGGGCTGCCTTTGATTGAATGCAGTGGGGGTGGGGGCAGGGAGGGCGCAGCCGGTGCCTGTGTGGCGGCCGGGGCTGGGGGGGCTGCCTCCCAATGCAGTGGAGCTGGGCGGCAGCAGTTGGCGGAGCACCAGCAGCTTTGGATCGCCACAGCTCATGGCGTTTTACTTCGGGGCCACTCCCCCTGGCTCCTACAGGTAGGCTTTGTGAGTGTGTCATGTGCCATGTGCCATGTCGCATGCTGCTCGCCTCATGCCTCGTGGCTCGTGCAGTCATGTGTGTGTGCGTGTGTGTAAGCATGGGGCTGCTGGGAAAAGGGAGTTTGGAGGCCAGGGATGGGGGGGCTGCCTATTGAGGTGCCTCAAAAGTCGTGTGTGCATGGGGCTGCTGGGAAAAGGGAGTTTGGAGGCCAGGGATGGGGGGGCTGCCTCCGAATGCGGTGGAGTCGGGGGTTAGGGTTTAAGGTCATCCCTCTGCGCCCCTTTGTACCCCTCTGTCTCCGTCCTTGCCGCTCTTTGCACCGCTTCTCACCCCTCTGCACCGCAGTGGTTCAGCTGCTTCCTCCCTCTCTAGCTCCTGGGGCATGCCTGCTGGGCTGGCCATGCTTCTACCTCTCGCTCTACCCCTGCTCACTCCTCTATACCCCTCTCTCTTACCCTGCCTCACCCCTCTGCACCGCAGTGGTTCGGCGGCCTCTTCCCTGTCTAGCTCCTGGGGCATGCCTGCTGGGCTGGCGATGCTTCACCAGCAGCAGCAGCAGGGGGAGAAGAAGGAGAAGGAGAAGGAGGAAGGAGCAGGGAGACAGGCAGGGGACGCAAAAGAAGGCGAGAAGAAAGACAGCGAGAAGGAGGCAGATGCAGGGAAGGAGGGTGTGAAAGAGAAGGACCAGAAGCGGGGCAAGGGGGGAGGACTCCTGAGCCCACCCAAGGGCGTCACTCCCCTCCCCTTCGCCCCTGGTTCTGCCCCTACGGATAGTATGATGCATATGGCAGCAGCGGGAGGGCGGCACAGGGACAGGGGGAGGGGAGTGGTAGGATCGATGGGGAAGGGGGGAGCGGGGTTGCTGTCGGCTAGTCTGGGCTCAGGAGGGCAGCAGCACCAGCACGTTAGTCACGCGCTGCTGGAGGAGAACGGGTTCAAGCAGCAGAAGTGAGTGTGGGTGGGGTGCATGGAAGGCCATGGTATGAGTGAGGTAAGAGAGGGGGGCTGTTGTTGGCTAGTCTGGGGTCGGGAGGGCAGCAGCACCAGCATGTTCGTCACACGCTGCTGGAGGAGAATGGGTTCAAGCAGCAGAAGTGAGTGCTCCTCATTCTACAAAAGGTGTCTCATTTGTTAACGAATCAGAGAAATGGTGTTTCCCTTTGCTCTGTCTCTTCTCTCAGATCTCTCCCCACTTGCCCCTCTCTCCCTCCCCTCTCCCCCCCCCCTACCAGGTACTCCTCCTTCTACAAGAGGTGTCTCAAGTGTATGCCCGCGTTGCCCTCTCTCACCTCTCATGTCTCTCTCTTGCCTCTCCTCTCATGCCTCGAATCTTCCCCTTCCCTCCCCCCCCACCTCCCCCCAGGTACTCCTCATTCTACAAGAGGTGTCCCGTTTGTCAAGCCTTTTGTCCGTTGCCTGCTTCTCATCCCCCTCGCACACCTCTGGTTCCTCTTCCTCCCCCCACCCCCCCCAGGTACTCCTCATTCTACAAGAGGTGTCTCAAGGAGCGCAAGAAGCTCGGCAGCGGCCGCTCTGAGGTAAGACACTTGAAGGGAATAGGGCCTTATCCCATGGGCTAGTCTGTATCAGTTGTTATCTGCTGCTGGGGTCCCTTCTACAAGAGGTGTCTCAAGGAGCGCAAGAAGCTGGGCAGCGGCCGCTCTGAGGTGAGTTGCTAGAAGTGAAGGTAACTCTACTTTGGTTGGGGGTGACGTGAGGGTGATATGTTTGTAAAGGTTGTTACCCTAGAACCTAAACAAGTAGGGGATGAACAACCTTTACACGTTGTTCCGCTTCTGCTGCTACTTCACTTCCCCCCCAACAACTTCAACCAACAGATGATAAAAGTGTTGTTTTGAGACGTCTCAAAACAACACCTTTATCACATGCCTTTACACGCTGTTCCGCTTCTGCTGCTACTTCACTTCCCCCCCAACAACTTCAACCAGCAGATGCCCACAGCGGTCCCTACCCCTTCTTCCCCTCCCGCACCCTCCCTCCCTCCCTCCCCAACCGCCTGTTCCAAACCCTCAGGAGATGAACACGCTGTTCCGCTTCTGGTGCTACTTCCTGCGCTTCTAAAATCCCTTTTCCCTCTCCCCAACCTTTCCTCCTTTCTCAAATCCTCAGGAGATGAACACGCTGTTCCGCTTCTGGTGCTACTTCCTGCGCAAGAACTTCAACCAGCAGATGTATGACGACTTCAAGAGGCTCGCCACGGAGGACGCGGCTTCCAAGTATTATTACGGCATGGAGTGCCTCTTCCGCTTCTACAGGTACTGTGCTGTGCCTAATGCCTCTTGAATTGACTCAACGTTATTACAAACAGAGGACGCGGCTTCCAAGTACTACTATGGCATGGAGTGCCTCTTCCGCTTCTACAGGTATGTGCTGTGCTTCGCTTTGCTAGTAGTTTTTAGTACACTCACCACTGAGGACGCGGCTTCCAAGTACTACTATGGCATGGAGTGCCTCTTCCGCTTCTACAGGTACTGCGATGGTTTGCTAAGAATCTATTGACATGTCTCAAAACTCTCAAAGGACGCGACTTCCAAGTAATATTACGGCATGTTGTGCCTCTTCCGCTTCTACAGGTACCGCTGCTTAGCTAAGTGATTCTTACGCTTTCTTTAATGCTTACGGCAAAGAGTGCCTCTGTCGCTTCTGCACGTACTTATAAATAATTTCTGTGACTTTGAGCAGCTCTCTCTAATCTCCTAAGAACCACCCCTTCCACCCTCTTCCACTCCTCCCACCCTCTTCCACTCCCTTCCACCGCTTGCATCCTTTTTGTTCCCTTTGACCAGCTACGGCCTGGAGTCAAAGTGCGAAGAGCTCACCTTTGCTGATTTTGAGCAGCTCACTCTGTCCTACTGCGCAACTCGTGTTTTGAGTCGACTCAAAACACTACTGCGCAACTCGTGTTTTGAGTCTACTCAGAACACTACTGCGCAGCTCCCTGATTTGACCCCTTGAATTCCTTGTTCTCTTCTCCTCCCCCCCGTTCCTACCCCCCACCAGCTATGGGCTGGAGTCCAAGTTTGAGGAGCCCATGTATGTCGACTTTGAGCAGCTGACTCTGGACATGTACCAGCGGGACGGGAACCTCTACGGGCTGGAGAAGTACTGGTGAGTTGAGATTGGATGGAGTGGACTGGGGTGGGGTGGGGTGGGGTGGGGTGGGGTGGGGTGGGGTGGGGTGGGGTGGGGTGGGGTGGGGTGGGATGGGTGGGCGGTCCAAGGTGGTTCGAGCAGCTGACTCTGGACATGTACAAGCGGGATGGCAACCTGTATGGGCTGGAGAGAAGTACTGGTGAGTTGAACCAAGAGATGTTTTTCCTGTGAGATATTTTCACATTTTTTGGGTTATTTTCACAATTTCTGAGTTATTTTCACAATTCCTGAGATATTTTCACAATTCATGTTATATTTTCACAACCCCCCAGATATTTTCACAATTCCAGATATATTTTCACAATTCCGGAGTTATTTTCACAATTTCTGAGTCATTTTCACAATTTCTGAGATGTTTTCACAATTCCCAAGTTTTTATCACAATTCCTGAGTTATTCTCACAATCCATGAGCTCTCTTCACAATTCCTGAGTTTTCTTCAAATTCCTTTCCCCACACAGGGCATACCACTTTTACCGCAAGGAGAAGGTCACGCGGGAATTCAAGAATCACCCAGAGCTGGTGAAATGTTGTACGCATGGCTATCCTTTTCCTTACCCTTTCTCCCTCTCCACATACATCCCTCACTCCTCACCCCTCCCCCGGCACACCACAGGGCGTACCACTTTTATCGCAAGGACAAGGACACGCGGGAAGTCAAGAAGCACCCCGAGCTCGAGAAGATTCTCACCGAGAAGTTCCGAACCATGGCTGACTTCAGGGCCGCCAAGGATGCTCAGAAACGCGCCCTGGCTGAAGCCCAGGCCAAGGCGAAGGGAGAGAAAGTGGGTGGGGAGAAGGGGGGAGGGGAGAAGGGGAAGGAGGAAAAGGTGGAGGGAGGGAAGGAGGGGAAGAAAGAGGGGGAGGAGGGAGGGGAGGGGAAGAAGGGAGAGGGGGAAGGCGCTGCTGCTGCAGAGGGAGAAGGAAAGGGGGAGGATGGGGGGAAGGAGGGTGCTGTAACGGATAAGGCAGGGGATGGCAGAGCAGGAGCAGCAGCAGAGACAACATCATAGAGACAGGGTTGATGATTGCATGGTTTATGCTATTTGTGCTTGCAGCCCTTGCAAACTGTAAAGCAATTGTTACAGTTGCAGTAGCCGAACAGCAGCAGGAACTGCAGCCCACCATGATCCTCCACCAAGTGAAGCCTCTTCCACCCCTTTTCCAGCATTGTGATATTCCAAACCTTCCCTTTACCTTAGCCGAACCGGCCTTCCCTTCCTGTCCACTTGCCAAGCTTGCCCCGTCGACCGCTTGTGTATGGCTCTGCACACAACTTGATGTGCCTTGACTTTTATTTACCCCTTTTTGTTCATTCTAGACTTGTGGTTTTTGTTTTTTTTTTTGCTTTCATCTTGGTGTGTTTCTTTTGTGCTTCTTGTATATTGACCCCCTCTGGCTCAAAACCTTAGTTCAATAGGATCTTGATGATACTTTGAGACATGTTCCTAGGTAGGTGTTACGGGTGCAATGAATCTAATTAGCGAGAATTGCACTAAGGTGTCAAACGAGTACAAAGATGTGAGCGAAGGCACGAGCGAACATTTATATGTGAACATGCAAACGGTAACGCGGTGCGTGCGAGCTAGCTGGTGCTACGCTGGCAGCGAGGCTCGGGCTAGTCCCGAAGAGTAGGCCGACACGGCCGGGCCAGCAGTGCGAGGTTTGGCAGAATAGTGCGCGCGAAGTTGGCGAAGTCCCGTTAGCAGTAACGGGCGAACAATGGCTGTTGCTGTACGCGATGTAGTCGGGCTCCGTAAGGAATGCCGAGAAAATTCCTTACACTACCCCCCCCCCCCAAGAAGCCCCCTCCGCTACGCGAGTGCGTGTATATCGCGGAATCCCCGGCTCCTGAGGTACACTTGCAGGGCAGGGTGGTTTTCAATGTTGGTCAGGGGCACCCAGCTATCTTCAGTTGGCGTGTGGTCCTTCCAGCGAACGAGGAATTCAATCCTCCTGATTCCCGTGGGGTGGCGAATCCGATGGCTCAGGATTTTTTCGGGCTCGATGATCGGCTCCAATGCAGGGCGAGTCATGGAATGCGGGCGGTGATGAGGCAGTTGGCTGGTGGTTGGGATGTATGGGCGAAGTAGGCTGACGTGGAACAATGGGCTGATGTACCAGTCAGTCGCTAACAGTAGGTGCGCGGTTACTGGCGTGATCATGTGGCTGATTTGGAATGGGCCACAGTAGCGCGGTCGAAGTTTCGGTACATCGGGCAGTCGCAGATTTTGCGTGTCGAGCAGTATGTAATCCCCTGACTGGTATGTGACTGGGCGGCGGTGGCGGTCAGCGTTGCGCTTAGCGATGACGTTTGCTTTTTTAACTGCTTCTGCGACTCTGGTGCGGGCAGCTTGAAGAATCTCGGCGAATTGCTGTGCACGTGGTGTTGGGTTGTCCGGACTCGGCGTCATGAGCACTGTATGATTTTGCCCGTAGTTCAGGTAGAAGGGGGACTGATGCGTCGTCGCTGACCTGGCGTTGGTGTACGCGAACTCGATCAGCGGCAGCTGCTGCTCCCAAGTCGTGAGGTCATCGCACGTGGCACGAATCAACTGCTCCATCGTCTAATTCGTCCGCTCCGTTTGACCGTCGGTCTCGGGGTGGTACGACGAACTGAACAGTAGCCTGGTCCCGAATTGCTCCCAGAGGTTCTTCCAGAAGTTGCTGGTGAACTTCGTGTCCCTGTCGGTGATAATCGCTGCTGGTATCCCGTGCAGGCGAACAACGGCTGCGATGAACAGGCGAGCGATCTCCTCGGCTGAGATCGACTTTTTGCACGCAGCGAAGTGTGCCATCTTCGTCAAACTGTCAACGACGACCATCACCGTGTCATTACCCCCAGGGTTCATAGGTAACCCTGTGACGAAGTCCATGGTAACCTGCTGCCAGGCGCGCTCGGGCGGTGGTATCGGCTGCAATTGACCCGCCTTCCGCTTCCTCGAGCTCTTCATCACGTGACACGTGGGGCACAAGCCCACGTGCTGCTGCACGTCGGTCAACAGCTCCGGCCAGTAGTAATACCGCTGCAGTTGCTGTCGCGTTTTTTCTACCCCAAAATGTCCCGAGGTAATTCCGTTGCGTGCCTCCTGCTGTAGCAGCTCCCTCAGTAGTGAGTACGCAGAAACCCAGATGCGGTAGGTGCCTGTTTTTACGCAATAAACTCCTTTAGCTTCCGCCATTTGCTGTGAATTTCCGGTCGTGAAAAATGTGTCAGAACATTATAGCTTATGCTGTTGTGTAGGCTATAGTGGGGTATCCCATACGGGGTACAACCAATTAGGGTTTCATATTTGTACTCACTTCATTTCATAGTTCGTCCATTCTCATTCTAATCTTCTCATGGTATCGAGCAGGTTCCCCCTTGGGAACTGTGCTTAGGGCCCACCACATCGATTTTTTTTTATTTTTCTTTTTCCCTGCCCGAAGCGCGCTCAGCCCGAGTCGCACTCCGGGCCCTCACTTTGTCGAGCCGCCCTAGCGGCCCCTCCTCAGCGGCCCCGCCGCCTGTCTCAGCGGCCTCGCCGCCCTTTTCTGCGGCCCCGCCGCCTCTCTCGTTGCGGCCTCGCCGCCCTTCACTGCGGCCCCGCCGCCCGTCTTCGCGGCCCTGCTGCCTCTCTCACTGCGGCCCCGCCACCCGTCTCAGCGGCCCCGCCGCCCGTCTTCGCGGCCCCGCCGCCTCTCTCGCTGCGGCCCCGCCGCCTCTCACTGCGGCCCCGCCGCCCTACTCAGCAGCCCCGCCGCCCGTCTCCGCGGCCCCGCCGCCTCTCTCGCTGCGGCCCCGCCGCCTCTCACTGCGGCCCCGCCGCCCTACTCAGCGGCCCCGCCGCCCGTCTCCGCGGCCCCGCCGCCTCTCTCGCTGCGGCCCCGCCGCCTCTCACTGCGGCCCCGCCGCCCATCTTCGCGGCCCCGCCACTTCTCTCGCTGCGGCCCCGCCGTCCTATCTCGCGGCCCCGCCGCCCTATCTCGCGGCCCCGCCGCCCTACCCAACGGCCCCGCCGCCCTTCTGCAGCGGCCCCGCCGCTCCTCTGCAGCGGCCCCGCCGCCCTATCTCGCGGCCCCGCCGCCCTACCCAGCGGCCCCGCCGTCCTTCTGCAGCGGCCCCGCCGCTTCTCTGAAGCGGCCCCGCCGCCCTACGTCAGCGGCCCAGCCGAGCCGCCCAGCAGCAGCGCAGCCGAGCCGCCCAGCAGCAGAGCAACCGAGCCGCCACGCCGCCGAGCCGCGCTGCAGCCGAGCCGCCCGGCCGCCCACCAGCCGAGCCGCCGTGCAGCCGACCGCCCAGCCGCCGAGCCGCCCAGCTGCCGAGCCGCCCAGCCGCCGAGCCGCCGAGCTGCCGAACCGCCAAGCTGCCGAGCCGCCCTGCAGCCGAGCCGCTCGAGCAGCCCTGTCCGGTGAGCACAGACCCTCTGTCACTGCGTGCTCTTCCCCTACTGCTTGCACTGCTGGTCTACTGCTGTCATGGCTACCCCTAGTGTCCTCGCTTTTGACGCTGAGGGTCGGGCCATTGACTTTGAGGTCTAGGTAGATGACCTACATCTGTTCTTACAGTGCGATAGGGCGGACGGCCTCTCTCTCTTTGACCTCACCTCTGGCGCTTCCCCTGCCCCGGCTGCTGATGCTGGCGCCACTGTTCGCTCCCAGTGGGCCACGCGCGATGCTGCTGCACGTCTTGCTGTGCGTCGCCACCTCCCTACCTCTGAGCGTGCGCACTTTAGTCAGTACAAGAATGCTAAGACCTTGTACGCCGCTGTAGTCGCGCGCTACTCCTCCCCTTCCACTGCTGCACTGAGCCGTCTCATGCTGCCATACCTCTTCCCTGACCTTGCTTCCTTTCCCACCGTTGCTGACCTCATTACGCACCTCCCCACTAGTGACACTCGCTACCGCACTGCACTTCCTGCTGACTTCTGCACCACGAACCCCCCCCCCCATGTACATCACTCTGTACTTCCTAGTCACTCGCCTCCCTGACTACCTTCGAGTAGTCAGGGACCACTTTCTCTCAGTCTGTCCCACCACACTCACTGTAGACCTCCTCGAGAAGGCCCTCCTCGCGATAGAAAAGAGCATAGTCGCTGTAGGAGCCTCTCGAGGTGACCCGCGCACCCCCATCTTTGAGGGGTGTTCTCCCTCCCCCCTGCTGCCCTCTGTTGCCTCTGCTGCTTTGACCGACCTCCTTGGTCTTGAGTCGGTCGGTGCGGCGTCTGCCCCTAGCGGGAGACGCCGCTCTGGCAAGGGCAAGGGGGGAAAGGGAGCTGGAGGAGCGGGCGGTGGAGGTGGAGGTGGAGGCAGTGGGGGGAGTGGGGGTGGCGGTGGAGGTGGAGGTGGGGGTGGGGGGGTCGGTGGCGGCAGTGGAGGCGGAGGCGCCGGCGGCGGTGGCGGTGGTAGCGGAGGTGGCGGAGGAGGCGGCGGTGGAGGAGGCGGTGGAGGCGGCGGCGGCAGTGGAGGCGGTGGGGGTGGCGGTGGAGCTGGTCGCGGGTCTTCGTAGAGGAGTGGCTCAGGTGGTGGCTCGCGCCAGCAGCAGCAGCGTGGTCGTGCGATCCTGTCCCCTCAGCAGCTCCGCGAGTGGTACACTGCACGCCAGCGGGGTGGGGGTTTTGGTCCGTGTACCTACGTCCTGCGCACCGGCGACCGTGCGGGTGAGCAGTGTGGGGGTGCGCACCCCACTCCGCGCTGCTTTGGCCGCCTGACGGACGCGTGGCGTCACCAGTTCCCGGAGGCCTCGAAGATCCCTCGCTGGGACGAGCTGTCTAGGGCGGGGGTTGCCATCTTTGATCTTGACTTTGATGCTATTCTCTCTGCCATGTCTATTAGTGATGAGGGTGACGATTACCGGTGTTTCAAGCCTGATCCGGGCACTGAGACTGCTGCTCTAGGTACTGGTGAGGCTGCTGCCCTAGGTGCTTACGACGCTGCTGCTCTAGGTGCTGGTGTGTCTGCGTCCTCAGTAACTGGTGAGTCTGCGCTCTCAGGTACCGTGTCGGCTTCGGCCTCCCTCACCTTCACTCTTGAC